TATTGTTGCGCGCCAGCGATTACCGAAAGAAAATTAAGAATCCTCCGGATATTGACAAGCTGAAAGTCGAATCAAAAAGAAGGCATCAACAACTGGTTGGGAAATTCACGTTACAATTCCAAAATGTTTGGTTTAATTCCTAACATGAGAAAAATCGGAATTTAGGCGAAGATTATTTAATAGTTAAATAAAGTTGGAATACAATATTATGAATAATTTATCATGGCAGTATAAAAATTCTGTACTAAGGAGCAGAAAAACAAACGAAATTGTACAAATGTCGATATTGGTATTATCTTTGGTTTAATTTAAAGTCAGTTAACGTTTAAATTGGTATGCTCTCCGTATAAGTAGATTTTCAATTGCATCTGGATTAGTAGGTGTGGAGAGAAAGGATTCCAACTAGTGTTACAGTTAGTTAAGTTTAATACGGCTTACTTAGTTGCAGGGAGATTTTCCTCGACCTTATCATTATCTAACCGTAATAGGGTTTAATAAAACTACCAACATACACGAATGGTTATCGAAAATTCGTTTAGTATGTGAAATTGGTGACAACTATGTAAATTCTGGGGAGATGGCTAACACCAATTTTTAAATATGAGTGGATCCGTGAGAAACCTGCTCTAGACTAAATATTTTGATGTACAAGAAACCAAGTATTTATATGCATATTTAGTGGTTGCTAGTGCATACAAGTTAGTCGCAAGTATGGGGTTTAGCATGAGGTGGAAAACGACTTATTTGAAATATAGTGATTAAAAATTACTGAAATCAACAAAGCTTATATGACATAAACATAGGTAATGTTGTGTTGCACGATGCTTACAGCTGAATGAATCTTTACAAGGTGACAAACAGCGAGGGATGTTCATGTGATTATAAAAATTGTTGATCTTATCAGAAACACAAGTATGTAGGAAGTTAAGCCATAATCAGTAAATTTGAGTCTAAAACATCATCAGCCTAGAAGCACATACAAAGGATTGGTCAGATAATGCTCAACGGCGCCGTGTTCCATTGGAGCACTCACCCATGGTAATTACAGGAAACCCATATTCTCTTTGAATTTCGTAAGAACGATTACCCAACAACATCATTTGAAAGTACGTGGCAAAACCGACGTAACGTAAAATAACTAGTTACAGAAGTGGAGGAACATATTTTCCTACCAGTCATGAAAAATATCAGTACTCACAAACCAAAACAACAACTTGATATTACTTTGTTTAGACCTGAAGACAATAGAGAAAATAGACAAATGTAACAGCGGCCATGAGGGAAAAGCCAGCAGCAACACCGAAAGAGATAACAATGGACAGATTGGAGACCATTCATAAACCCAACTATATGTGAATTTCATCAACTCTGAGGAATACGATAATTCGTCATTAATACCAATGTGTACAGACCACGAAGCACATTAATTCACCTAAAGAAATATCGAAATTGTGGGTATGTGACATCACGGAATTTCTAGCACGATGAGGTTCAGATCCGACGGTGATCAGTAGACACACCGACCCAATTTATAAATCCATACGGATGTAGTTAATCCGTCTCACAAGATCAGAGGTTAATAGAAGAGGAAAATCAGCATCAACATAATGAAATCTATCAAGACAGTTAGTCACAAATGTTACTATCAGGATGACACGTTACAAAAATCTTGGAACAACTGTGAACCTCACTCTTACATGAAGTAAGCAGAAAAGAGGCTTTAAAAACACCAATGAAAGCTCTCCTGGTAATCTATTTAAGCCAGAGGACATGAAACCACGTAAAATTGATTAAAACAGGGATTTATTCATCACAACGCATTTGACTCTAAAATACGAACATTACAAATGGGGAGCAGTCATGTTATACTGACCGCATTGCACTCCTAAAGCGTTCCTTTCGCTTTTGAAAACGATAAGAGTATCACCACGGGAGATGTTTTCAGAGTTCAAGACTATGAGTTCCAGATCAACCCGAAAAATCAGGGTCACTAATTGTAAAATCTATATTCTCACGCTCCTGTACAAATATGGAGAAAACGCTTGCATGTTTGTTCTTTCTCGTGACCAGCCCTTTACTTTTTTGTAGTACGTACTGTTCTTAAGATTCCGAAGTAATAAGAGCATTAATGTTCTGGAAGTAAACCATCGTCTTCCAGTGACTCTTTATGTGGACTTCATGCGTAACTTTGTCACAAACCTCATAGGCTTCTCCGGCTTTGGTAGATATATTTCTATATTTTACCAATAATATTTCCTCATCCGATACGTCATTTTCGCTTATGGTTACTATTTTCACCTCTGCTATATCACCGTTTTCGTGTACGATAAATTTTTATTGCTTAGCGGTCACTTTTTAATTCATCATGCCGATCACCACAAATTTCGCTAAGAAAATCTGCTTCAAACATAGTTTGTTTTATTCCTTTATTTACAACGAAAATATATTGTACTCTAGAACCACTAATTTAGACTCAGTAGTCCACCACTCTTAACATTTTTGGTGCCTGTCCGCTCGCTGTCTGAACTCCTAACATACACGTCCTAATCATTTTATAGTGCCTTTTATCTGTTGACGATATTGCCAAACCTGGTCCAATCAAGTTAATCAGCGTTTTCTTATTCACTCTCATCTCATACATTATTATTATTATTCGCAAACATCTTATGGGTACATAAGCGTTGTGAAGAAACCACTTCAGGTTTCTTCACAAATGCAATAATATACAAGTTTCAATAATGTTAGCATTATGTTCGCCATATTTGAAAAACAGAGTAATAATAATAAAATAATAATAGTAAATCAGGTTCCGTGTAATTGAGAAGAACGTTGAATTGACTTTAAAGAAAGAAAGGGAGAGAATAAGAGAATAGGAGTAAAGGAGACGTGAAATACGCAAATAGTTTAATAGGCGTGTTTATCAACACAGAGCAAGAATAAACAGGTACGTAGCTCTACTGACTGACTCAACAACCCCAAGGACAAAAGGCACATTGTATCGTCCGAACAATTTCCGTTTTCACTTGCTGGAGTAGTTCAGTCTTACCTTACTCAAAATATCTGACGTTCTGCTTCGTGCTTACTCGTATCTCCGCCACTTATTGTCGTAGGTCTTCGATCTCTCCTTACACGGGGACTGAGGCTTAACTATCTTTTGTGACAGATGATACAATGAGCCTCATCATCTGCCTGGCTGCTCTAGCCACCTCCGAGATATCTATCGTCTGTGCGGCACTCGCCACTTGAAGCTTACACACTCAGTGGACATTCAAAGAATTGAGATACCAACGACTGCTCCTCCGATTCTTTACCCAGTAACGGCAACGCACGGCGTAACAAGTTTGTTAACTCAGACGTCCGATGTGACACACATGGCTTTTAAATGCTGTGGTATCGTCTGCTGGTCAGCCAAGCTGTCAAACTCTGTTAGCATCGGAGAAACGCGGAAACCTCTGCATTTCTTCTCGTCCGCAAGAACAACGTCATCGAATGCCGTCTTCACTCTGCCGCAAAGTGATAATGCCAACACAATCACATTCATTTAAGGCTCTCTCACGACAAATTTTGCCGTCGCCTCAAACTGTCCAGGTAGCTCCCAATGTATCAAACGGCTACGGCTAACGAACTTTCAACTTAGTCTTCGCAGCAACATCAATTTCAAAGTAGGCAATAGGAAAGAGGAAAGTAATTGTCGTGAAAACTTACAAAGTATTTAAATCATACACACATACACCTATCGACCTTTCGTTTTCGTTTTTCTTTGTGCTCTTCAGCATGAACCGTCGTCTCGTCTGAACTGTGTTTTATGCCAACGCCTTGTTTTCGACTCATTCTTCTCTTCACTCCGTCCGGCAATTGTCGCAACTTCAATGCCACGTTCCGCTGTACACTAGATACAGATAATCTTTTGGGCAGCGTCCAGCATACTGTTACTTTTACTGTTGTCTGCATTTTTGTGTATCTGTACTTATTTTTGAGATTGACTGGAGTTACTGCTGTTATGGTGTTTACGAATTTAGTTCTGAGTATGTCGTCAATATTAATGCGTCTTTGTTTTAATTGACATTGTTTTTATCCCACTCGGTATATTAGACTGCTATACGACGGTTGGCAGTTTATGAACTGGTTGCTCTCATTTGTATAATTTATTAAGAAGCATGTTTTTGTATGTTTTAGGGACGTTTAAGACTACTCGTTGGTAGTAAATTAAATTTTCTATATAATCATTGTTTTTTAGTTGGTTATTCGTCAAATACGATTGACTCACTCTTCCTCTTTTAATGGGATACTGTTTCTTGACTGACAAGAATGTTCGTCCAATCTTAGTAATTAGGAATTCATCAAGCGTCTGCACCTTGTTGAAAAAAGTGTCGTTCACGTGTCATCGTTCTTATTTGTACTTACATTTTTTTTCATATCACCTCTTCTGTATATCGTCATCATTTTGGCAGTTCTTTACATCGTCACGTTACTATTGAACTTAGAAGAGCATCGCTGCGAATCTGTTTACAGACATATTGAAACAGTCCGATTTCTGGATTTAACACTGTCAATCAAATCCTCATAGATAACTAAACTAGTTTCATTTTAACTCACTGACAAAGTTGAGAAATGATGAATGACATGGGATAGCACTGTGGCATTCCTCGTTCCACAGTTTTCGATCCAGACGGTGTGCCATTTACTCTCTGTCTTCGACCAAAATTGGTCTCTAGCGAATCATTGATCTAAATCCTTGACGAAATTCATGAAAAGATAAGCAGACCGTTACTATGAGATGCTGTTCAGTTTTTCGAAATTAGTAGACAGGATATTCTCTTGCATAATGTTTTTTATCCTATATTCAACATACCCTGCAATTCAGAATTGTTGAACAACTTACACTGTTATAAATATTTTTGGCAAATTTACCTCCGTATTAGTTTAATCTACAAGTCTTTATTTAGATAAGCGTAGGTCTATTGACTAAATACCTTTACTATTAGAGAGTGAAGCTAGTCAGTTATAGCGCACAATTCAAGGTGTGTGTTACGCGTTCAGCTATTATATTTCAGTAAGTGGAACTGTTGTTTTTATGGTTGTTTTTCAAGGTTTGTATTTTTTAAAACATTAATTAGTCATCAAAACATGGCACAATGTTAAGAAGTCGATTGTCAGATCATCGTTTATAGTAGTGTGTGTGGGTATTTAACTACGTATGATGGTTTACCTTAAAAACAATCCCTTCTGTTTTCGGCAACCAGCATAGTGAACAGCTCAAATTGTATATTTTACCTAAATAGTTCTATTTAGTGAATAAGTTTGGATGGTACGTTGAGCTAACAACTTTGAGTTGGGTGTCCGTGGATCAACTTTATAAGGTTAAGTGGTGAGAGTGTATTGTTCTGACGAATTATCACTCATACAGAAAGATTCTAGTTACAAAACAATTGGTAATTGAAGGTAATACAACACCAGTCGAATTGCATCTGTATTTGTAATAAATAACCTTCACAAGTCAAGTTATTTTTATAGTAAGGGGTTATCACACTAGTTTTAATGTAAAAGTGTTGGGGTTAAGTATTACGAGTTGTACTGGAGTTTACAGTTGGGCTTCAAATATTTTAAAAGCCGGATATTCCCAGTTTTCACTTGGCTAATAATAACATATACGTTATCTATCACTTCACTTTCAACTTAGCACTATCCTTGTGTTATCTTAATTCTGGTTAACCTAAAGCCGTTAGCATATTATACTTTCACCTGTTTTACTTTATTTATTTAAACACATAAACATTAGTATAAGGAGTCAGCAAATATATATGCGCCACAAAAATTATTCGATTTGTGTTAGGGCTGGGATGCTGCCCGGGTGCCCAGACCGAAGGTGGTTTTCTTAGGGGGCCACAACTGGAGCCTTCGATCTAAAGTTCTAATCCACAAGGCAGTGGAGAAACGTAAGGAGATGCAGTCCCATGGTAGCCGGTGACGAACAATTGGTTCATACGCCATTTGTTTCCTTAGGATCCTGGAGTCCATGTGGAATATTGATTTGGAATGAGGGTTTTCCAACTCTCCTAAGTGGATTCTCCGCGTCCACCAATCCCGTTGAAATGCCGAACATCCGCTTTTCGTCTTCTCAATTTTGTAAACAACAGTAATCCTGTGGGAAAGCAGTGAGTAAGACTTCCCTGGGTGTGATTGTATACGCGTGGCCATGTGAGAGCGTTTTGAGAAAGAGAGCTAACTCTCCCCACTCTCGGCAGTACCAGAGCATTCGCAGATAATCCGGTGTGTATTATGGAGCATCCAACTCCGATATCAACCGTTTAGTTTTTAACAACGTAATCAGACGTTGGAAATCCCAAAGAACAAAGAGTCTACTATTTGTACCTGGCAAATTTTTTAGGTAGTATCAATTAAAATGATAGGGGAAAAGATGTGTTTGCCTAGTCGAATACTGACCACATGTTCTTGTAATATATCTAAATTTTTAACCGAAAATGATTGTCTTGTTTTGATGTCCGCTCATATTTAGTGTTCTCTGGATGCCTTCCGAAGCTTCCGATTTTCATATAAGTAGGCGTTGGTGAAACTTCTTTCTAGAGTATTGCATTGTCATGATAGGGGCAAGTAATCAGTTAGTGCTTTAGGTCGGAACGAATAAAAAATCGTCTATCTGCTTCTTCGAAAGCTAGCAATATTTGTTGAGTCATCTAGATGTCTCGAATCACAGCAGAAACGAAAATCGGCATATTATATCTAATAATTGGCCTCGCAGAATATTTTACTTTGGAGGCCAACAATATGCTGTTATGTAAGTGAAATTGTAAACAAGTGTTTGTGTTTGTACTATTTTCATAATTTGAAAATGATACTGTGTCTATTCGACTAGGGTGTCGAAATAATCCCCTAATTTGTGTGACACACTGGTTGCTGTTGTGTTCTCATGCGGAACTCTGTCGAAAATACTCACCAGTATTACTAGCTCAGCCTAGATTATCAATAAACTCTGTGGATTCTTTCCGCTGTTCGTATTTTATGGTTGATAAAAAGCCTTTCTGAGTTGTTGATTATGCCGAAGCCCAGTTAGGTTTTTCAGAATAACAATCGAACAATCACAACTCAGTTACATAAATCTTACATGTGTTAAGTTCTTGCAGAGTTTTAATGTAAAATCGCAACTACTTTTCTTTGTTGTTAGTTTTGTAACTGAACCAATCAATGTTTGAGCAGCACCAAAATCAGAGTGTTAAGGACAGGTCTTACTTTCTTGTGCTAGGAAAGTTGTTTGCTTTCAGAACGTTTCCCAGTGAAGGTTTGACTCTAGTTGTGGTCTTGAGTGCTGTTGGAAGTACGAGATTGGTTATCAGTTCCCGGTTGCCCACTAATTCTTTCCTCCTGTACTATGTCCTTATATGCAATTTTTCTTTTATATATTACCACCACTGGATTAATTACCTCTATGAATCCGGTGTTCATCTTGTTGTGCTAATGAGGTATGGCAACTTGGACCGATGCGCATATGTGCCTGGTCCTACGTTGTAACTGACTGACTTTGACTCTAATAATCTAAATAAACCAAAGAAATACATTTATTTTTTATACTTTAGTGTCATACTACGTGTTTATTAGACCGTGAAACCAATTTTTTTACATTTGAGGACATCTAATCCTCTAGCAGCAGTTGGATCCTTAGTTGTACTGAGGGCAAATGTGAGGTTCTGTAAAACTTATCAACATCTTATTTGATGATCTTATGGGGTCAAACGATAGGAATAACAAAGATCTAATACGAGGGTAAGCAGAAAATCCGTGGTCTTTTATGCGTTTCGTAACATCACATCCATACTTTGATGTTTACTAGTGTTCATAGAAGTACGTTTGTCGGGTTCCGTGTACTGATCATATGAGAAAACTTGCATTTTGTAAATGGCGTGGTTTCGCATTGAAGCAGTTAGGTTGTGTAAAATTTATGTGGTAATTATAATTTTTAAAATCTCTTGATTTTTTTCCTCGCTATTTATGACAGTTCGCCACATGTGCTTTCGTAGTGTTTTATGTACCGCAATGGTTAGTAAATCATTAGAAGGTACTGATGCATCCACTGGGTACTAAGAATATCATCCCTATAAGTAGAAAGAAATTAACAAGAAAATAATATCTATGCCACGTTACATGTGACCATACACTTTTTGTTCGTGTATGAACTGAAAATAGGTGATGACGTATTAAAGATGGGAACTTCTTCGCCAACCTTTTCGTGCAATCGTAATTTAATATTTATTGAACGTGGTCCACTGACTGAAAACACGTTTCTAACTTAGCTTTGAGTTATACACTTTTTGAGGGACAATAGTATTACCCGGTTCTCCCAGCTTAACTAGGTGGAGGGAAATTCGGAACTGTGACCTATCGGTTGGAAGCAAATCACCTTAGTTAGTAAGCCTTCAAAGATAATAATAAACAGTTATTATCAGAAGAGCATAAGGACAGTTGGAATTTCTGCCAGGTTGCAATTTCCAGTAACCACTTGTCACTCGACATCAGTATTTTTTTACACAGATGGGATTATTGTTGTTCTCACTTTTCATGAACAGTTTTATGTTTCCGTAATTTGAACACTAGTTCATTGATTCGGTGACAACATCCACCTCACTTTCCTTCATTTAATGTTGGCATTCGAGTAGTATTATCTTTTACGTATAAGATACATATAATATGCCGGTATACAAGGTCTTTTTAGTTTTCAAAATACATTGGTCAATTAATTAAGTCTGGCACAAACAAATTTCAGGTTTTCGGAACGATAATTTTATACGAATCCTGAGGACTTATTCATATTAATTTTTTTATTAAATTCCCTTCGAATGAAACGATATATTTGCTTATCATACGTCAACTAAAGCATGATTGGTTGGTATAAATGTCATTGTTCCGCTTATATTTGTTCAGTTTTGTGAAAATTTATCCTCAATTAGAAATGGTAGTTGGTTTCTTATTTATAAGAATTTATTCTTGGGGTTTATATGATCTAGATCTAAAAAGTATTCTGTAAATTTTCCTGTTCAGGAAATACCATTTTCAATGGATTCTCAGTTACTGTATTTCAAGCTATTACAAACTTATACAAAGTTTGGATTCGATTTTTACTTTTCTATTCTGAAAGTGTAATCGCACTGTTGGTTTCGGTACTCGGTAGTTCAATGGTGTCATACGCTAATACTATTCCTGGTAGTTTATCTTAAAACTGTTTATCATTTTTTTATTTCAAGCAATTACTACTGATTTAACATGAGTAACTCAGTGTTAGAAATGAATTTCATTCGTTTACTATACTGTACCGAATGTCTAGCAGCACAGAAACAATTAGAAACCACTTACAAGGACTACGTAAAAACTCTTGAAACATTTTTTAATACATTGACTTCATCAAATCATCGTCCTTCTCCAGAAAATATACGTAAATATGAAATACGGGTAAGTTCATTGGCATTTATTTCAATATTTCAGATATCGTCCGTCAATTTTTTTCAGTGTGTTATCTTATCTCTTCCACATTCATCAATAAATAATCATTTCCTGTAAAATTTCAATGGTTTAATAATTCTCATTAACTCTCGTCGAGTTACCAAATGCCCTGGTACGGCCGAGAGTGGGGAGAGTCCGCTTTCCTCTCGAAATGCTCTCACATGGTCACGCGTATATAGCCTCTGCCAGGGAAGTCCTACTCACTTCCTTCTCATGCCGGGGTGTTGTTTACGAAAATGAGAGGACGAAAAGCGAATGTCTGGCGCTTTAACCGGATCCCAAACCAATGGTGCACATGGGCTCCAGTATCCTGCGGGAATAAATGGCGTATGAACCAATCGTTGGTCACCAGCTACCATGGAACTGCATCTCCTTACGATGCTCCACTGCCTTGTGGATCAGACCTTCAGGTCAAAGGCTCGGGGAGTGGTCCCCAAGAAAACCACCTGCTTCGGTTTGGGAACCCGGGCAGTATCACAGCCCTCACACATATCGAATGAGATTTGTGTGGCGCATATGTATTTGGTGCCTCCTTGTACCGATATATGTGTGTTAAAATAAATAATAAGTACCAAATAAATATGGTTCATGTAGTTGAGACTAATCAAAATATATGTATACTAACGCACTTTATGAATAGCAGACCATGTTTATTGATATATTGATGTAGATAATTCTCATTGGCAGGTTTGCTTAATTGGTGTTATAATACAAGTTAAAGCACTCGATTTTTATTTATCCGAACTTAAACCAATAGATGAACAGAAGCAATGTAAGTTAAAATCTCGATTCATTGATATTTCCAGTTATTATGAAGCATCTGGAATATCACAGTCGAAAATTATATCTCAAGATCACCAAGAAGCTTTGCAGAGTGAAAACATCGTTATCCTTCTGCCTGATTAAAGCTCAGTAGTTTTTATAGAAAAGGACAAGTATCTAAATAAAGTCAAGTTAGTACTGGATGATCCATCGAAGTTTGTAGTTGGTCGGGGGAGGACTAAAGGTTTAACTGTGAGGTAACGTAAAGACTCTTCACGAATAAGTCAAAACACTTCCTGAGAAGGAAATTAATCGACAATTGCATACAGTGAACTGAATCAATAAGGTTTCAGATCACCTTAAATATATGGTCTACCGAAGGCATATAAATCTTATACCGATACTATCAATGATCAATCCTCCAGTTCGCAAACTCATCCGGTCGTTAGCGAATCGTTTCGGAGTCATTTGTTCGAAATTATCTGTATGTAGCTTAAAAGATACCTTTAATTTACTAAAATGCTAGAAAATGTTAAGATCCCTGGAAAATTCATAGTTTCATTTGATATCTCATTATTCTTTACAACAATCCTACTATATGAACACAGTGGACTTCTTTTGTTAAAAGATGAGTTCAAACAACTCTTACCAATATACACTAAAGGTGTGCATTAATTAATTTAATAATACTTTATGTCGACAAGTTGACGGAGTTGCTGTAGATAGCCCATTGGTACCAGTTATAACAGATATATTTATTATCAGAAGGGGTTTGTGGAGATTTTTAGAGATTTTCACAGATTGAAATCATGAGTCAGTTGAAGCTAGACCACCATTGAAAACCTGGAAGCACTGGACGGCCGTTTCGTCCTAGTATGGGACTCCTCAGCAGTGCGCATCCACGATCCCGCACCACGCGGGGCTCGAACCCAGGACCTACTGGCTTCGCAAACCTAGAACAAACAAAAATGAAGCCGACAGTTAATGAAACAGAACTGTATGTCAGGTACTTTGACGATACATTTGTTCTTTGTAATAATTATAACCATGCTTCACATATGCTGAATCTTCTCAAAAAAGAACACCCTAATGTGTATGGTTTACCACGGAGCAGAAATATGGTGACGAATTTCATTTCTTTAATATGAGTGTTCAACGCTAATCAAACGGTCAAACAGAAAGATATGTCGATTGGAATGACATTCAAACTAGGCTTTATTTAAATTCCGATAGCCTCTGTCCAAGAGGTTACTAAAAGTTTTTAGTTAGAATACCATTTTACTGCATAATGAAACTGTTCAGAAGAGATTGAACAATAATTAAGAACAATTGAAAAGTGTCTGGGAGATAATGGATATCCACAGAAATTTATCACTGACAATGAGAAAGCACGAGAAAAGGGAATGGGATTTACTATGATAAGGAAAAAGCCAGTCTTTTGACGACTTAGCGTTAGAAACTAGTTTCTGTATCAAACACGTTGCTCATCGAGAACAAATCCCCAATTTATGTTACCGCCAATTGTGTTTATCAGTCTACTTGTTTGTGCCAAAGCACTCATATTCAAAGAACAGAAAAGACGGTTCTTGTTCACATCTCGGAACAGAGCACATTTCACAATAATTGAAATTAAGAGGTCAACTTATTCCCAACAATGCCATTGAAAATAATCAATACTGAAATAATTTCCAATCTACTACGTAGCGCCGAAGCCATCTCAATTTAAGAGTTGGAACGAAATCTGTATACTAAAAATGATACAGTTGTAAATCACTATCCTGGTAAATTTTATTTTTCATGATTCAATTAAGTCACGTTTTATTTCATATTTATAATAACGAATCCCTTTTTCATTCTTAGGTCTTTCTGAGCTTTACTCATCTTACTCTACTATTCTATCAAATAGTATGATTGTCATTACGCAGCTTTGACATCAATACTCATTCTCCAGAAACATGTCTGCATGTTTTTTTAAAAACATTTTCATAGAATTTTCACATTAAGTGTCATGAAAATATTTCTCCACGTTACAACTTTATGATACTTCCATACCTTTTGTCGTTATTCCACTAATCTTCACTGATATGACATAAAGTATGTATGTTGGTTATAAATAACCATTAACTGACGAAAATTCACGAAATGAGTTCATCTTGTTCTGCTATGTTCTTTGTTATTTCTTCATTCAAATGATAAAACTACAGTTTTAAATGTTATTCTATCTACTGAAGTTGAAATATCCACTAAGTATTCATCACACTGTATTTATATAACGGCATAATATTCTAGCTATCGTTAGATGCTCTGATAGTATTTTTATAGCTTCTATATTATCTGATGTGTTAAGAATAATCAGGTATTACATAACTGTGTTATTCGGTGTTAGGTCACGTAAAATTCTTATGCCCTTTATGTGTATGTTGCATAGGCTTCGAACCGTTTATCGTCAGTTCAACGTAAACTAGTACATTTTTGTAACAGGTCTTATGTTGTTTAAGACCGATTAAAGGTTTTAAACCTGGACAATTATTTGAACCAGAGCTGAAACTTTCATATGAATTCAGTTCATCGACCATTACCTGGTAGGATTATTTACTTTCTTAGTTTCTACATCTATTGTCATAGCTATGTTTCTAGGCATCACTTTCATCATCTAACTGTGCCAGACATTAATGTAATTCAAACTTCTTTCCACCTGCTTTTTGAACAGAGATGGCCAATTTTTGTATTGTAAAGAGTGTTAAGATTCAGCTTTCTGTGACAGTCCAAGAATGTCAATGGTGTTTAATCGCCTTCTAATGATAAAGCGCGTTTCATGTCTGTTCTACGTCTCCGTATAGTTTGTCTTATCCTGAATGTTTCTTCAGCTGTAATTGACTGGTTGCTGATATAATCTCGTCATGAATATAATGTACTGACTTGGCTTTTGCCAAGTTACAGGTGATATTTCATTCTAAATATCAGAAGTCAGTTATACCATACATTGTTTCTTTCACTATTACTTTGCAAATGTGGAACACAGTTTTTTTAAGAGGAGCTCTTCAATTGTCAATCTGGCTTTGATAAAACCATCGAATGGTTATGTATTAAGTATTCTTAGTCACCACTAACTCTGAATTTGTATCACTATCAGCAGAATGGTTTGGTTAAAACGCTAATAGTCTTCAGACTAATATATATCATCCACCAATGGAATCGCTGGTTATTCCTTCAAGCCGTGTAGGAAGCATCAGATATCCTAAACGAAGTCTACTAATTAATCACAGTCTTATAATACAGATTTAAATTTATTCAGTAAATATGCATTCCGTGTTTTTAATATCTTTCATTCTCTAATCTCACTTGGTTCCCTCACTATTTTAAATTTTTAAAGTTGTGTGTATTGCTATTTTCGTTTCTCCCTTGTTTATTCCGTCACTATATGTAATGATGTGAATTCTGATAATATGAACTGCTAAACATATGGAAGGGATAGTCTTACGGTTCAACTCCTATGCTTTCAACTGTTACGCCGTAGATTCCGGCCTCATTCCACCCATTTCGGCTTGGACGACCAGGTAATATCACTAACCCTCACAAAAAATGTAAGTTTATCCTTCAGAGCTGATTATATTAAGGTCATGTAGTTGGCAAGTTGATTGCATATTTTCGGTAGGCTCAGTTTGCCTTTACCAACTTTCATCGCTTGTGGTGTAGGCGGGATGTCCGTTTGTGCAACAATCCTCACTGCATTACTATTGTGGGGGGGAGCATAGTCTTTGAAAGTAGAAATTATGGGTTGGATTCCTATTTTTTGATAATAGGTATCTTCGAAGCGATGTTGGGGTTAGGCTTAGGCATAAAGTACTTGGCAAAGGCGGAAAATCTGTTGATAAGTTAGTAAATCCTCATCAGCTGGGGTGGATAGAACATGTGTTATATATCCCAAGTCCACGTACCTTCACAGCCGATGTTCGCTGGTATAGGAATGGGCTGGAAGAAGACCAGTGAGGGCCAAACCATGACTTGACATTAAAGACCGTAGCTGTTGTTCTGAACCGTCCTTGTAGATACAGACTAAGTGGTTGGGTTCCGCGAAGTAACGGCGATTAGTGGTTGGAGACGCTGGGTGATATGGCTCATAGTCATTCACAATGGTGCAGATGCATTTACTCTTTATCTTCCTCTAGATCTTGAATTCCAATATTCTTTTATCCACACCTTTCTCCTCTTATCTTTCCCAATAATATCCTCAGTCTTTCATTGTTATTGGTGCTATATTATTCTGATCTCTTTTGCTATTTATCTTGTTAATTTCATCTGATCGTTCTCATTTAGTATGGAGAGTTGGAACAACACACGTCTATACTAGGTTGTACGTTAATAAGGATTAGCTGGCTGCCAGTCTCCGTGTTTTTTTAAAATATGTATATTTACTTAGAGTGACAGCGGTAAAATATGTTCAAAAAGGAATTATTTATTTTATTTTAGCTAAAAAAGTTAAAGCAGACTTGCGATACAGTAGAAAATTCGAATGTACAGTCTATTCATCATCATCATCTATCACGTAGTGAAATAATTGCAACTTCTAAAATGAATGAAACCTCTCTTGTTAATCATAATGTCAATAAGGAAAATGTAATTGCTCCTGAAATAAATAACTTATCATGTAATAAAAACGATACTATGTGCTTTGAAATAGACAATCAATCACTTATTCAGGGCACATTCACCGATAGATGTGATTTGATCGCAAAAGAACGCCAACGTATAAATAGAGAATTACGAGAGCAATTATTAGGTAGGTATTCGTATATACTTCATGTTCTCATTCAAACAATCAATTTATGATGTAATATTCTCAGTCACCTATCATCTCAGTTCAGCCGCTAGCGCTGATTTATGCTCAAACACAGTATGCAGTACGCTAAAGCATACTTTTTATTGTTATCAGATATTATATTAGTCATGAGTTTGTCTTAGTGTCCGATTGGGTGTGCTGATAGAAATTCCTCTTGAACTGTTACGAGTAAAGAGAAACTGTGGGCTTTATAGTATTACCAACCAAATTCACGTCAATAAAGTTCTGTAGCATTGTAATTTACAAATAGCAATAAGTCCATATTCAACAACTACCTGGAGAGAACACTGAATTCAAAATCTGCATATTAATCTTCAACATGAATCCGCATATTAGCTACTAACAAAAGTCTTAGAGTTGTAGAATACGCCTGTCATTGTTTACAACTGGGTGTTCCTATTCTTCAATGTAATAGTTTAGTCAATCATCAAAGATACAATAAAAGTAGACCGTACAGACGAGCTAATCAGTCTATCGAATTTCCAATGGATAGCTTATGTTTTACAGATGATGATGACGACCTTGAATGACTTATTAGTCAATCAAAAAATATGATTTAGATATCAAACAATTTATAATTAAAAAGGTTATAATATTTCAATAGATAAATCGTTTTGCAGTAACTAATAAACTTTCAAATTACTTTGAACAAAAGAATGGTTAGTGTTAAAGGCTTGTGTTAGGAGTTAGGGTTAGAAGTTTGGTATACAGTTAAGAGTTGAGGTTAGAAAGGGAGAACGTTTGGTAATTATAGGGATAAAACATAGTTTAAAATAGTACGACTTAGCTATTCAGAGATAAGTTTCAATGACATTCCACCATAGCTTTATTAAATCTGTTGTGTTTCTTAAACAAATACCATAAAAAGGTGTCTTAAAATTACAGTAATCGGAAGAAGGTTGTCTCCAAGTTATTCACCAGTTAATGATTTCGGAGGTCTACGGTTCGATCCCTGACGCTCCATGAATGGGCACTGTCTCATACTGGGATATAACAGCTGTCCAGTTCACTTAAATAAAGTCATCAGTGCATGATGTAAATAATCCTCAGATCGATAATGCCTCATGTATTCTATGAAGTGAGCTTCGTATTTATTTCGCGAGTTAAATAAGTTTTTTTGGATGACCTCAATCGTGATCGGTTATCCTCGTAGGTTTCATTTTGTCCAGAACAACAATGAAAGCTTCGCAATTAAGCCAGTTTAGCTCGCACAACTCAATAATACCAAAAGTATCCATCTGAGTTGTAAATCTACTCATCATTTCACAACTAATCATATTTAAATTATATACATTATTTTCCTTTTTCAGGTGGAAATAAATCCAGCGATAAAAAGTCATTAAATCATAGTAAAAATGAAAATCTAACTCATTCTTCTGGACTTCTTCGTGAACAAGAAATTCAACGTGAACAATTAGCTTCAGAAATGCTGTTATTAACAACAGATTTGAAAAATCAATCTTCTGCAATGAGTCAACGAATTCGCCTGGATTGTGAAACTGTTGATGCTAGTATTGGACAAGTTGAGCGAAATACCGCAAATCTTCATGGTGTATTAAATGAATTATCATTAGAGCTTGGTTCCAAATGTGGTCGAATTGTATGGATTCTATTTTTTATTGCGTTAGGTTTATTTTTATACATGATATTATTTATGAAAATGTTTCGTAAACGAGTTATTCAATCAAATTCTGTTTATTCTCCTAAAACAGAGTTATAAATTGTTATAGAATGTGCATATTATTGTTGAGGTTAATTGCCCCTATCAACAAAATACTGGATTTTTTAATGGTTTTTGCTCCTGTGTTTTAAACTATACTGTGATATCTATTGTCAAAAGTCATGTGTAATTAGCCTCTCTTCCTATTGGTTGATCTCTCTTCAAAATCATGTAAATGCCATCTGTATACAGTGATGTTTATTTATTTCATTGGGTTCTTTTTGTTGAAGTATAAAAGCTCTTTTGTAAAGTAAAGTCTCCTCTCTTCCCCATTTGCATAGAGTTTTCATAACTGACATGTGTCGTTGCACATTACTGACCTTTTAACATACCTAGTCAGGTTGAATACGATGTTATATATCTTCATACTGACTTGTGATACATGTTTCTAAATAGTTGGAATTTTCTGTTTCCGCGAGAAAACGCATCCTTTTTTATTAATTTTTGTGGAGTGGTAGATTCTCGGTATGATAGACATTTACCATCTGTTATTTGATCACCTATATCTTAGCGAACAAGCAAATACATCCTAGGTTTTCTAACTCAAGGCCTAACTTGTACCCTCTGTTAATAGTCTACTGTCTGTCTCAGTACAAATTCATTACACATAACAGGAAGCTCTATCATATCGTATATACTAACTTTAGTCCTTGTGACAAATTCAACTTAGAGTGCAATGTAAAATAATAATAACAGCCATAAACACAATTGGAAAGTACGAGTTTACATTATTCAACCTCAGCTTACGTAACAATGGTTGATATTTGATTCATTCACATATGTCCCCAATACAATCTTATGCATAATTTAGTACAAACATAATTATTTAACAAATACAGAATTCAATCAGAGTTGAATTTAGTCTAAGGTCAAAAATCAGTATAGTTGGATTTTACGTTATTTGACAATAAGTGATCATTTAGAAACGCTTAAAAGGTACGCGAATATTTGGACAATTTACTCAAATTCCACCAAATACGTTATCGCTTCGGATCGTACTTCACTTAATTTACTTCCAGGTACTAGGGTGCATAGTTAAATCACCCACACAAAACAATCTATTTCGTTAACTTTTAATAACCCTAATGCAATTTGACATTTTTAGTGGCCCTAAATCTAGCTCCAATTAAATCATATGATGATTTGTTATCGAAATATTCATACCACCAACCCTCGTATATGATTAACGACTTAAATTGCGTTAGTGGCTAGCGGAATCGAATAAGTCAAATATGAGGATGAATTTTAAATTCGTATGTTTCATACAATCGTTGATTTGGACAGACAATCTAGGAAACTAAGCGCAGGGGAGAAAGCGAAGCGAGACGGATAGGAGAAGGTATATTCTCCAATCATAAAGAACTTCACATTGGAATTAATATTACAATTATTAACAATTCATTGACAGTCAATAAATTCACCCATAACATTGTTCCTTTGGGATTATTGCTGTATATTCGCCTATTTAAACCCAAGGTGAGTCTCATATATTTCTTGTTATTTTTGATTTCCTCATATTGTATATTTTAATTCTCAGCTTATTACTATTGCTATTGTTATTATTTCTTCGTATCATGTCACTTGATAATTCACTAAGCCTTTCATCTAAGGCTATTCCCGTGGGTGCCATCTCTGTACCTTTACCTGTCTTTAATCCCCGAAAGGCTGAACTCTGGTTTGCACGCTTAGAAAGCTATTTTGCTGCAAACAGAATCACAAGTCAGCACGAAATTTACTTACGCAAACTCATTGCTGCCGGACGACGTTATTGAACAAGTGCCTGACGTCATTTTTAAGCCGGATCCAGACTCACCATACGATTGTCTAAAAAGAAAGGTCATTCGTGTTACATCTCTCACCGACCAGCAGACAATTGATAAACTTTTAGCTAATATAGAGCTGGGTGACAGTACACCATCTCAATTAAAACGCCACATGACAAATTTATTAGGGAATCGTACAGTAGATAAACGTCCATTATATCAATTGTGGCTCAGACGTCTCCCACAAAACATCCAACAGATATTAGCAATTGGAGACAAAGATGTCGATCTTGATAGGTTAGCGGACATAGCCGATAGAATTTACGAGCGGACTAGGACTCACTCCGTATCTCACATACAATCGAGCTCAACTGACGAGATCGCCGAGTTACGACGAACAGTTGACGTCCTCACTAAAAAGATAGCCCAGCTCCAATTTTTGAATACCTCCCACAGTAAGTGTAGAGGAAGATCCAGAAGCCGTAGACGTAGTCCAAGCACTACCAGACATAACATTTGTTGGTACCATAGGACGTACGGTAAACAAGCTAAAAAGCGTACTTCTCCCTGTAACTTCGCAAGCACACAGCAAAGGGAACGTCAAGGCCGTCGGTTAGTGGCGACTGCAGTCGCTGGCCACAACTCTCAAGACAGTCGTTTGTTATGTTACAGACAAAAGAACCGAAACACAGTTCTTAGTCGACACCGGGGCGGAGGTTAGTGTAGTATCACTCACTACACTTGAGAAAAACACACCTGACCTCAAACTAAAGCTACAAGCCTGTGATAATTAGAAGTATTTGAATTATAGTATGAACTAAGAATTCCAGAAATAACGTAATCGGATCAAGAAGTACTAGACAAGCACAAACGAATGTACTGTATTTAGAATTCAAAATCAAGCATTCAACAAGCACAATGGAATCATTAGTTTATTCAAACACCACAAAGCCGAAAACAGATCCGAGATCAGGACGTACGGCAAAAGGCAGTTACAATTACATTTCGGTCCTAAATCCAATATTTCATGGAGCTTCATCATAGCTGACGTCCTCGTTCCTATAATCGGCATTGACTTTCTGCAATTCCATAAAATACTGGTAGACGTTAGAAATCGGAAACTTGTCCTTGCCGATCAGAGTAATGAAATTAGAGGAATTATATATAATGAGACTTCCATACATTTCTTAATCAAACCTCATCACGAGAATGACAAATACGTCAATTTACTTAATCAGTTCCCGGACTTATTACTACCGAGTTTCAAACGGGACAAACCGACACATACCGTCGTACATCACATAAGGACAGAGGGTCCACCAGTGTTCGCACGTCCAAGACGCCTTGACCCCTCTCGTCTATCTCTCGCAAAGAGCGGATTCAACAAAATGATAGAGTTGGGTATCGTACACTCCTTCGATAGTCCGTGGGCATCACCGCTCCATATGGTACCCAAGAAAAACTCTTTCGAAGTGAAAATGTAAGCATAATGAAGATCCGTGGGGCCGATTAAAAAAGGCAATGGAAATAAAGGATTTTTGTTTTGTAAGAGCAATTTCAGGACTTGTTCTAGATAAATATGGTAGTTGCTACATACCTATCTGGCCAGTGTACTCCTCTTCCTGATCTTGTTGTAGTTTCTGTTGCTGCTGAACTTTGATGTGAAGTATTGTTTGTTGCAGGTAGTTTGTATGGTGCTTCCTCTGCTGTGGGTTTAGACAGTTTTACAGTTGTTTGTTTTTCAGTGTTCTCTAAAAACGCTGGTTTTACTCTGTCGATGCTAACAGTATCATGTTTACCTGCTCTTTCCACTGTAACCGTTTTACTGTCCTTTCGGATGATTTTAAAAGGGCCGTCGTAAGGAGTCTGTAATGGCTTTCGTGCTCTATCATTTCTGATGAATACATATGAGCATTTGTCTAGTTCATTTGGGTACGAATGACCTTATCTTTTGGGTTCGTGGTTCAACGGACCTAATGGATTCCATCTGCTGGAATATCTGTTGCACGGTCAAAAAATTCACCAGGCAAACGTAACGTTGTTCCATAAACTAACTCAGCAGCACAACAACCGATGTCTTGTTTGATAGTTGAGCGAAAGCCTAATAATATCAAAGGAAGCTTGACATCCCATTTGTAATCTCCTCCTGCGGCCGTCAAAGAGGCTTTTAACTGTCTTTGGAACCTTTCTATCATTCCATTAGCAGTCGGATGATAAGCAGTGGTTCTAATTCTCTTTATACCGAAAGTATCTGTAAGTTGCTGAAATAGTTTGCTTTCAAACTGAGCTCCACGGTCGGTCATAATTGTTGTAAGGACACCGAAGTTTGTAATCCAGTGTTTCACCAGTTTCTTCACCACTGTTGATACCGACGTGTCTTTTAACGGAACAGCTATGGGCCATCTCGTAAATGTATCTATACATGTTAGTATATGCGTGTAACCATTAGAAATTGGTAACGGTCCAACGATGTCGATATGAATGTGGTCGAACCTAGTGCTAACGGCGAGAAAAATTCCTGTAGGAGATATGATATGTCTATGTACTTTTGACTTCTAGCATTGGATGCATTCCCGTGACCATTTTCGTACATCTTTGTTTATTTTTGGCCATACAAACCTATCTGTGATAAGCTTTACAGTGGCTTTTATACCTGGATGAGATATGTTGCGTAATTTCTCAAAAATGTTTCGTCTCATATCATTAGGTACATAGAGGCGAGTTTTACCTGTTGAGACATCACAGGTTAAGGTGTCCTTGCTGTTTATGAGAATGTTTTGGAATAATAATTTCGTAGAATTATGGATTTACTCGAGATTATTCAGAGGCCTGAACATCAGTTGTAGAGATATTTTTTTCTGTTAAAGATTAATAAAATTCGCAAGGGCATAGCAACTAAGCACACAGTGAAACAAAAAGAGTGTGTGTGTGAGTTAAAAATTCATGTACATTTATGGGTGTTTATCAAGTGTGGATAAATTATTGATTATCTATGTGTTACAACCAATGGGAGAATAGATTAAGGATTGATGTGCAGACACGCGCTCAATCATACACACACAGAAATTAACATAGTGAATTAAGTGTCTAAATTACAGTGAGTAGACAATTAATACAATCGTTGAATGGGCTTACTACAGTGTAAATTCGAATGCATTAATCTCTAATCGACGCTATTTACTCTACTGTGGCTTATTAGGACATGTTCATATTTCGCTATTCTTTATCTTCATATTTTGTTCTCATCACAAACCTATTCTTGTTATATTCTACCCTACTTATTTTCACGATTCACTCCATTGTCATACCCATAAACGATTCATTACTCTGTTTTCACGGTATTTCGAATCGTTCATACGAACGTGTTATTTTATCGTCCAGACAGTCACGACATAAATGCATGCTAATTTTTTGTACGCCTATTAACTTGTGCATAATCACATGCTAACATTTTCTTTTTCGTCCACGTCCTTATGATATTCATGTACTTTTTTACATAGGTATGATACTTTTGTATTACACACTCCTTACGCGACGCTGTACTCTATCAGATACATTAAATTTTTCCCGCTACTGATTGTTAACGTTATCTACGTACCTCTTCAGTGTTAAGTTCGAAAACACATTTTTTCCAATAAATGTGCTATTTTATTTATACAGGGGGACTTTGTAGGGGCTAGTACTATGTCAAACTCACATAGGTTATTCTAGCTTCTAAACATACCAATTTATTCATTCTCCTCAATCCATATTTCGACCTTGTTACTTATTGATCCTGACTGCCTCTATATGTGGGTTAATTACTTACCCTATTTATCATATATCTGTAACTTATTCTTGTCTGAATATAAATATTGATTAACGCTTGATTAAATGGAGTTGGTTCACATGCCTTCTCCTATCCGTCTCGCTTCGCTGTCTTCTCTCCGCTTCGTTTCCTTGATTGTCTATCCAGATCCACGATTGTATGAAACATACGAATTTAAGGTTCATTCTCTCATTTGACTTATTTGATTCCGTTATTCACTAACGCAATTTAAGTCGTTTATCATATACGAGGGTTGGTGGTATGAATATTTCGATAACAAATCATCATACGATTTAACTGTAGTAAGATTTAGGGCCACTGCCTTGTGTATTAGACCTTTAGGTGTGACCTTTAATAAAACCGCCTGCTTCGGTTTGGGCACCCGGGTAGTACCACAACACTCACGCACATCAATGATAACTGCTACTGGCCTTATTGTTATTGTATGGCGCATATGTATTTGGTGCCCTCTTGTACCAGTGTTTATGTGTTCAAATAAAAGAATAAACAAGACTGTACCCTTGAGAGACCAGTTCTAAACTCTATGCTCTGATATACAGTGAGATGGGAATAGAATATTTATTGCAGTAGTCAAATGTTTATAGGTAACAAATCTTGGAGCATACAGTTATACATGTGAACGAATAGATAGGATGAACATAACTCATTACTCATCACTTAGTGATGTTAAAGGCATCCACAAACATAATATGAGACGATACCGAAATGAAAAATATCTGGTATGATAACATAAAAATGACCCCAACTATGTGAATGAGTGTAATAATAGGACAAAAATGACACGAAAAAAGTAGTCCAGTGAGTCTCAATAATACTTTGACGTTAGGTGATAATATGACAATAATGTAATAATCAGAATATGATCATTACTTTAATCGTAACTGAATGATCCGCCAAACAGATCAGTGAGAAGAGTTGACACGATGACAAAGTACCGATGAGATAATACGATTTAAGCATGTCCATGTCGCTGCCGTACCAGCTCCCCCGAATGCGTCTGATTAAAGATTGAGTCGTTTGAGTTGCCTGTCGATTAAGTCAGCCCCTTAGTTCGTTTATCGGATGCGTAGAGTTCGAGATGTTCATCGTCTGCGTATATTTGCAGGGTGAGTTTAGTTCGAAGTGGGGCTTACCACTTTAGTAGTGGTTTGATGAGATAATCGATGGGGTTGTCGACTGAGTATGCTATGTTGGGTCTGTTCGTCGAAGGTACGGAGTGCGGAAGGTTCTTCAACGTAGTTTGAGAGGCTGCGTTAGGTTTGTAGTGGGGTTCAAGAATTTAGTATCCTTATATCTGACTCCAATTAAATCGTATGATGATTTGTTGTCGAAATATACATACCGGCAACTCCCGTATATGATTAACGACTTACATTGCGTTAATAAATAACGAAATTAAATAAGTCAAATACGAGACTGGATTTTGAATTTGTATATTTCAATAACATAACTGAAGTCAGATATCGAGTCACTAAAGTATTGAGCCCGTCGATAGCATTATCACACAATCTAATTGACGTCAAGATATAGGGCCAATAAAGTGATGAGCCCGACAACGAACCTGATGTGATTTAAGTCGATGATCATGGACGAGGGTTGGCGGCATGTATATTTCGATAACAATCAGCAAATGGTTTAATTGGAATCAGATATAGGGATACTGAACATTAAGGTAGTATTGGAAAGTATGTGATTTATGAATCAACACTAGTCCACTGCTGTTACATATCAAGTATTAATTCATATTAAAGCGATTGGATTTGTTTGAAGAAATGATTTGATTCTACGTTTTAAAGAAGTTATCAGACATAAACATAAATTACGTGACCTTATTGATAACTGGTTTTATCCCAGGAAAAAATAATTATACCTTGGTAATATGAAGGGCTTGTAAAGATTGTTGGGTTTTATAGTTAATTTAAGGCAATTACCCATCAACGGTAATATTTCGGCAATGTCACGAAACTATAATATATTAGAAAGCTATTTGCCTTAATAAAGATAGTAACTCATAATTTAAGTGCTATTTCATTAAAACTAAAGGGTCAAGAATTACATATTTTCATCATTAACTATCAATCACAGGTTTTACATGTTTCTATGACCATTTATGATAAACTTATTCACATGATCTAGAATTTAAGCACGATCATATTATTGAAATTCAAATTTTGTCAAATCTAAAATAAAATGTAGTTTGACAAAAGTCAGTATTATTTATTGAAAACTTATAATTCACCATTTTCCTTAGGAAGAAATTTGTCAACAGAAAACATTGGACCAAGGTTTCATGCTACGTGGCACTCTTCAGCAAGGTGTACCTGTAATCTTCAGGGAACTGATGCTCCTTGATGGATTAGATTCCGTGTCACCCAGCTTCACAGGTGGAGACGTTACCACAGAGTTATCCGGGCCACGACCGACTCCTTGTAGGACAGATGTATTTATAATTGATTGATCAATGTCAAGTCACCTAGACTAGTAGCCACATTGTAACTCAGTCGATAGGATTCGATCTGCACTAAGAAAGACCTGACATACATGACATTGATCAATGACCAATCAATTGTAAACAAATTCGGTAAAACAATGACTCATCAGGTCTTAGAAATGATCAACTCTTCAATTCCTAACAATAAGCAGGAAGTATGAAAAGAAGCTTTATCATGAAGGTTAGTTTATTTACAGAAAATGAGAATGTTTATAAAACCATACATTACTTTGAAATTACGGAAGTTTCTGAAGAGCATGTTCTTTATCTGTGATTGAGTATATTTAAACACTACTGTTTTAACAAATTTACATTTTATTGTGATAAGTTTTAAAAGTTTAATTCACTCATTGTACAATACGTTGGGCAGTAATAAATTCCGAAATATTGAGATTTATTTCATTTTCTAACGATGTTACGTTATCTTAATGTTGATACCATTTAGCGGAGATCGTTATTTCATGATAACGGGATTTTGAATAATTGATATCCATCTGCTCGGCAACTATCTAATGGTAACCATTTTACAGAAAGATAAGTCAAAGCATAAAATTGTATCAAGTTAAACACGTAGTACTTGGTAAAGATGGCAAATCAGTTGATGAGTCTGTAAACCCTTATCGGTTGGAGTGGTCGGAACATATATTACTGATGCCTAATCATACCCTGCCTCGATGCTAGCTAAGTTGTGCGTTGGATGGAACGGAGCCATTGATAGATGTAGACTACTTATTTGGGGTCCACACCACAATCATAATCAGTGGTTAGAGTAATGCCTCAAAACCAATTGCAATGGAGGAGCTGTATTTGTTATTTATTACGCCTGTAAATAATGGTTTCTATTTCTATTTTTCATAATTTCTAATGCCAGCATAATCCAACCCAAGTAGGGATTGGGAGTAGACGACGCTATAGCATCCAAGTCTATCTTACTAAACAGCTCAGATAAATGGAAAGTCACGGTGAAGATAATGAAGAGGAAATCTTACAAGCTAATCCAATCTATTTGTGTAAATCAATTGATTTCTTTGGGCTTGTTTCTGGTTATTTCGGAACGGTCCCAGATCTTTGATGATGTCCAATGGATGGTAGTCCAGCCACTTGACTTCACTAGGTCTGGTCATTTCTGTAATTATTTGTGAGCTTGTGTATCTTGTAATCTGAATGAGTACGTCTCAGGGTAGTAGGGTTTCTGGAACCAGAAGCTATCACATTACTAATCAGGAGGTTGGTTGGCTGCAATACGAAAAATGATAAAGGAAAGCATTCGAATCCAGAAAAGTGGAAAAAACGATGATCAGAAGAAGTAAATAAATATATAAGCTAACTGATCAGTAATGGAGACAGTCGGACCAGAACGAAGTGTAAGGAAAAAAGGTGTACAAAGATGATGATAAGCGAGTTACGAATAAGCTGACGATATGTGACAATGTCTCAAGTACATCTAGTCCAATAGGGAGATGGTAATTCATGGGTGACTAAGCGTTTATGATCTCCACTTGAAGCTATCTACTGAATGGGCGCATGTGAGCATCGGTGGGTTACTCTTATCTAGGAAGTCGTTAATAAAAACCAGGAAGAGAAGTGACCTAAAATGGCTTTCTGTGAAGCTCCTGATATCTCTTTACTTTGGTGAGGAATCTTCGGTTCTCCAAGGGATTCTGGTGCCAGGATAAAAGTGACTCAGAAAGCACATTGTTGTGACCCTCATCACAATGTGTGTGCGCTACTGTGCCGAATACCTTGTGAAACCGATGGATATTAAATGAACAGGTATGTTTTATTCCCAGTAGGGTGTTCAGCTATCTCGCTCAAGTAGACTAATCTATTCTGAACTCTCGTTGGGCTTCATGAAGAATGTTGTATTTGTCAAGTAGTCTGTCCCATACTAAGATGGAACGACCGTCTAGTACTCCCAGGCTTTCAACAGTGGTCTAACTTAAATGGACTCATGAATTCAACTGTTAAAATTACTACAATCTTCACAAATCCCAATTATAATCATATTTATTTTTATCAAATTATCAAGAATACAATCATAAATGAGTCAGATCCACACAGTATATACACAGAACTAAAACAAGAAATTTTACAATTCAAAAATCTCTAATCATTTTATTCGATAATAGTTGCTCGATAACCTGCTGACAGTCTATCCATCCACCCTACACAAAAGGTCAATCGTATGACAATATTTTCAAGCCAATCAGAATCAAGTACACTTATCATATTTTAATAAGATTAAAACTATATATATATTACATGCTATAATAGAACATGCACATTCATAAATTCAATTACATAGTTTTAGGGGTAAGGAGCACAGATACAAAGAGTAGGGTATGTCCAGATCATAGAAATGCTAAATTGTTTTTATATTATAAATAAAAAGTGTTACTCGATTCAATGAAACGAAATAAATATTTTTTTAAAAAAGTAATTGTTCCAATTGGTAACTAAAACAAAACAAGGGTAACAAAGCAAAGAGAAAATAAAAACGGAACAAATGAGTTCATGTAAGCAACATACATATACATATCACCATAGTACAATCACTGTTATTTCCATCTCTTTTTTTTCTGTCTTCCTAACATTAAATATCAATTTACAAAATTCCTTAAAATTGCTTTTTTCACTGGAGATGGTAAGTGGATTTGTGAAATGCAATTTTGAAATAATGTATTGTAACTGTTATTGCTAGTTGTTAGTGACAAATCATTATTATGATATTGATGTTTAATTGAGCGATGCATAGTTTTCTTCAAAAGATTTTCAACAACACATTTTCGGATTGCATGAAGACATTGTGTACCAAGACGAATTGATTCAGATCGTGTTGTAAATAGAAGTACATCGTGATTATTCGTACTGAAGAGAGAAAAAAACCATCAATAGTTTAGTAACAATCAAAATTAGTTTGTTTGTTTTTTATTATCAATAAAACTGTGGCTTGTTTAGCTGGTTTATAGAGATCAATTCAAATAGAAGTGGACAATACGAGCTGAAGAACCAGGGTAAACGAAAAATTATTTGATGAAAAACTACTGAAGTTAAAAGTCAACATTTTAGGCTATCAATTGATAAAGCAGTAATTTCCCTACCATAGATCTCGGTTCATGATGCTACATTGTCTGAATAATTTTATGGGGCAGTCAATTCCGTCGTTGAGCCAATCAACATAAATCATCTATTCATTTATAATATAAGGTTGGTTTAAAAAGAGGTGTGTGTTTCTGGCTAAATAATTATTCTGCGTGCAGGATCGTGGATGCGCATTACTGAGGAGTATCATACCAGGATAAAACGGCTGTCCAATGCTTCCAGGTTTTCAATGGTGGTCTAATTTAAGTCAGTTCATGACTAATAAAACTCAACAATCTCCACAACCCTTACTGTAAATAACAGTATATTGCAGTCACCAGTCAAGTATTGTTTTTTGATATAAACAACAGGGGAATGGCGATTGTATTAGGTATCGATTCATGTGTTATCACGGTGTAAATCTGTTTTTATTATAAAGTAAAAAAATATGCTTGACCGTAACAGCACTAAACACCTGTTTCTTTAGCTTATGATTGTTCCAAAGTGTGCACCACCTAAGGAATTGAACTCAACGAAGTTTCAAAGTCAAGGTGATACTCATTTAGGTCAATCAATTGGAATTAAATCCCCCTCATTTTCAACTCGAATTCTTGTTGTGTTATGGTTATATGGTCACATAGGAACCAAGGTTATATACCAAGAGTCATGATATATCAGCCATAGTGGTTGTGATAAAATGAGTTTCTGTCAGATTATGTGATCAGTGTAGCATCTAGCACTATATAATGCCTACATTGGTTGTCTTAGCTTTTGAGTCACACTTTGACCTTGTCAATTATTCGCTTATAACGTTGATTGTTTTTATATGAGCGTGTGTTTATCATTGACCTTATCCATAACATGTCTTTATCTCATTTTTGTCTGCTAAAATGAGAGTTGGCACGATTGCTTTCTCCAGTTTATTTCGTTTCACTTTCCCACTTCTCATTTTTTTATGTCTGTCTGGTTAAACGAGTGCATGAAATGAGCTCATCCACTTTAGTCCGTATTTAACTTATTATCGCCATCACTAAAACGGGATTAGCCTAAACGTAATATACATTTATATTCATGGCATATTCATTCGTTTTGTTTTTCAAATTGGAGTCAAATCGACATAGGCCAATAAATTGGTGAGCCACCATATTATTGACAAAAAATGATTAAAATTTCTATTGTATAGACTGAAGTAGGATATATAAGCGAAGAATATTTTCCTGTTGTCAATCAGGCTTTACTCTTTTAAATCCAGTTACTTTATTACTACTACACATATGCGCGACACGCATTTAACCAAACAAGGAAATCTAAGATTCAGTGATATGGATTCTACAGCTAAAAATTAATGGTAACACATTGTCATAGTTATAACAATAGTGACAATACTAACGACATTATAATAAAATAAATATTTCTATATTCAAAGTAGGTCAAAATGTAAGCGGAAAAATTAAATTGATTATCAATAACATATTAAGAGGTCAACCAGACAAAACAGACACAATTGAAACGTTAAGGCATAAAGAAGGTTACAATAATTGTAAACTATAAAATTCGAAAATTTCTAGAAACGTCTATATGTATTATTAATAATTATATGCCGCCTAATGATTAATTCAAGGAGGTGATTCCAAAAGCTCTAGTGAGAAGCAGTGACCAGTGGTGTTCACCTACCAATAGCATTGGAAGACGAAAATACAGTATCGTAAATTGATTGAAGTCAGACATGTTAACCAGGAGAAGCCAATTCAATAAGTTGAAGACAAAATGCTCGACAAAATACCTAGAGGTCTCGAGTTACGTCCTTGGTGAGGTAGTAGATGTACATAGATAAAGAACCGCATACTAGAACGAAACAGCTTTCAAGAGCTTCCCAATTTTAATGGTTTTCTAACTAAATTATTTCGTGATGTAAATTCTGAAATTCAACAATCTTCACAAACTCCCTTTACTGAAGATAACAAAATCTGGGAAGACGAGTCAGAAACAAGATTATCAGAACAGATTGACTTATTGCTTGTGTGAAATAATTTTAAAGCAGCTCACTTTTACATAAACAAAGCGCTCATGGTCACGATGTTGTTGTTGTTCAGAATGATAATTAAACCTTATCCATATCAACCGACACAACACCAGCACAAAGAAACCACTTAAGCTACAAATATTTGCTTTCATTTTAAATACATCAGTAAAACTTGATGAATTTCACTCGAAGGATCATGATTATATACTGTGGATGTAATATGTAACGCTGATAGTACAAATGACTTTAGATACCTAGGCGGATGAATATAGTACAAAACCTAAATAGCTGAGGTTCTCTGTAACGTTTTCAATGTGTTCTTATCAGTAGTTTCGATCATTTTTTTCGTTCATTTAATAGATGAGTGTGACATATCAGGCTACAATTTTCGTTATAGATTTTATTTTAAGCGAGTTAAGGTTATCCTAAAATGTCTGTCATGAACATGTCTAGTGTCTAGGTTCCTTGATATGCCAAATAAAAAAACAAAAATTTAGTGTACAATAGGGATTGAAATAAACTCTGATGAAAATAACACTATGATATACAGCGTTCAGTTATTAAATTAACAGAAATAAAGCCACAGCGTTGGATACAACACACTTATTGAGCATTAAGAACGTTTTTGATAAATTCAACCTATCAAATGTGAAATTCTGGTATATAAAACGACTCATTTCTTAACTATTAAGTTGTTCTTGGGTTAATAATTCAGGCTTGTGAGCAATTATTATTCAGTTATACTGTCTAAATTATTCTAGAATGATTGACTATCAAGTCTACAACAAAATTGCTTTGTTATAACACTAAAAATTTAATTCATTCATGCTTGGAAAGCCTTATTTTACCTAACATTTTACTTTCGTTAATAAATTTAAGTTTCGACAAGTGTAAAGAGGCCCTCGAAAACTTTATAATACATATTACCGCACTGACCTTTGTTATTACATAATTAGTTAGTTTCCCTGGTAATTGATGCTTGTCATATCCTGATATCATAGTTATTGTTATAGTAAACAGACTTGTTATAATATAATTTTAAATTTTTAGAATATTAAACTGATCATGAAACTTCATGTCTTCTCTTTTTAATCACGTAAGTGATTATTATCGTTGTTAACGTATTGTAGGTAATAATGGTCATGATCTATTGAACAAGTATATCCCTCTGGTATTGGAAAACGTCTTCTAACAGTTGATAATTCAGAATAATTGTAATTTATTTCAAAGCATAAAAGTACGTCATGTACTTATGATATAAGCCGATCAATGCTTACTTTTTTGAGTAAGCCAAAATCACAAAATAACTTGAATGAACATATATAATATTGAAGAAGTAGATTATGATAAGATTCATGATTTAGAATTCTACATATATGATGATTATAAACAGTTTAGTAATGAATCAAAATTACATGTCCTTATTATAAAGAAACACACAAGAACTTACGTAACAGCAACTATACGACCACATGGGCTGAAAGCTAAGCTACGAAATTTAAGATTAGTATGAGTTTGGAGTGCAAGTTCGAAATAGATCTTCAATGGAGAATTGACAGGAGCCAATGGCCATAAACGAATACATCTACGGAGGAGAGTGGGAGCAAACAAATAAATGAAGGGAACTATGTGTATGAAATGAATAAAAGACTGTAAATTTCCGTTGTTATATTGAACTGTAAAAACAATCACTGGATTATATATGGTAATTTTCTATTGAAAAGTATTGAACACATGAGTTATTTGTATGCACATATGATATACTGTATAGAGCATAGGTAATAATTTTCGAATAGTGTTAGAAGTATCAGGCGAGTTGTCACTTCCTGATCATCCATACCGTTTAAGGATAATTCTTCTAAAGAAATATGAAGATAAAATTGGGTTAGGAGTGGTCTTGTTGACCAGGAAGTATGATTGCATTACCCAAGGAACATCTGGTTGAAAGTGGTCATAATATGTCCTTTCTGCGTATAGTTTTAGATGCATGAACTATGTACTTTTAAGACTATCACCTGTAACGTCAATTCGTGGGACAAATTAAGGTATGGTAATGTTAGGACTGGCTTTTTCTAACTTCCGCCTTTTGTTGTGTGAAAATAAAATATATGTACATATTAGTTGTCTGGATGAAAACAACTTACTGCCATTACACCCTAGTGCAGTATGAGCTTGTCTTCGAAAGAGTTTGTTGCTCTTATTTTTAAGAGTCTCTTCAACTAACTTGTCAGGTATGGTGGGATCTAAAGGAACGAGTGCTTCAGGTAATATGGCTCGATTGGGTCATTATGACAAGCAAGCCCTACTACCAAGCCAAAGTCGTAATTACGGTTAGGAGAGGAAAATCAGGAGGCTATTCGTTCCGAAGCACCATTTTTCTACTTGATTATGCTGTGATTTGATAAATTACCGAGTAAATTGAACTAATGGTCTAACATATATGTTGTAAGTCTCTTAATCTTCAGTCGAATAGATTCAAAAGGATAGAACCACTAACAAATTGGCTGATGCAGTTACGAGGAACGTAGAAACTGGCATATATGTGTATCAGTCGAACTTGCTACACCATATCACTACTGAGAAATGAAATTATTAAGACAAATACAAAAGTAATAGAAGTAGTAACAGTATCAGCATTAATAGGAAAGATTAGATATAGAGAATATGATTCAAGGAGAATGGATTCTTGGAATGAAAACTACTTGCCTATCTTCGCAAACGGTAATAAAGTAAAAATCATCTGGGGACAGAGATAAACCGTATATATGATGACCATTTGATCCACCACGAAGAGGAATACTGGGTTCACGTCCCATATGCCTAAAAGAACAGAAAAGAAAACAAAGATATTAGTGATGTTTTAAGTAGATTACTATCGTATAACTGAACACAAATAGACGAATAGTTGTTTCAATAGGTAATGTGCACTCAGACTTCAACTTGATCGATAGAATATGGTTAACACTAATGTTTAGACAAACACGTCATGGGCAACTATTCAATGACCAATTAATGTAAGCATCTTAGTTCTACAGAACAGTCAAAGCCCCTATAGCCCAGTGATAATGTCAGAGATTGTGAAGCTGGATAAAGTGAGTTTTAGTCCCACAGGGAGTATTGAATCCCTTAAATTCGGAGGTATGACACACTGGTGAATTTTAAAGAGCACGAAACCTATTTTTTCGACTACCCTCAATCATTTAACATCAGATCTCAGCTATATCAGATAAGAGGTTTCAACCCTATTTCACTTAATGCACCTGAGTAATAGTAAGCACTATACTTAAGCTACGACTCAAATTACGGTGGATAGACATGTACTTTATGATTGCCTTACAGGAATTATTACGAACTAATCAATAAAAGTCCAGGGCAGTGCAGTTAAGTTGACTTGTCATTGATTAATGAGTGAATTCAAGTAATTCAGAGGCTTTGAGTTGAAAAAAACAGGCATGAATGCATAGATAACCAGAATATTTACCTGCTCTTATGCAAATTATGTTGGTAGCATAAATCAATGTAAACCGACTCAATTTATGTTTGTTCAAGATCAATTCTTGATTAAAATTTTATTATTAGCAATATACGAAGATAATAAACATTGTTTTGGCCTACAAATTTCAATATGAATACTGAATCATTATGCACTACCGCCATTTGGTTGACCTACTGATGACTATGCAAAAAAAATAAACAAGGTGAAGATTATGAGTTGTTTGACAAAAACCACATCAAGACCCTTGTAGGCCCAGTGAAATATCACTAGGCTACAGCCAAATCATCCGGTAGACAGGTCGCTGAATGCCAAACGGTTAGTCAATCCTCGTCAAGATTATGAACAACCGACACACATCAATTATTTACATGCCATGGACAGGGGCGTGCGGCAGTGATTTATCCTTTTACTTCTATAGCCTGTTAATACTAATATATGCTGTTGCTTATTGAGAGTATTTATTCTAGCCAGTCACTTAGGAAATTGATTTGCCTGGTTATCACGACAGCATAGTCCAAGTTAATTATTAACCGTGGGGCGTTACTTCGATGTACACTAGGTCACACTACTGCCGTCTAACTGGAATAGATCCATAATCATCGGCACAGATCACCTACGTTGGTGATCTACACTCCGGTATAAAAGATTCAGAAAGAAACTGAGTTGTTACATTGGAAAAAATAATTTAGCTTTACTCTTGGGAAATAAGATCTAGTTATATGTCATGATAAGCTTATAAAATTAGATACACGTTTAAATTTCATGACTATTCGAAGCAATAGTTATCAATACTGAACTGTGAATTCACTTTAAATCTTAATGTTACTTATGTTTGAATATTCCATTGGGAAATATTACGAAAAATAATACTGTTTGCTCAAATTATTTTGGGTTTCGAATTGTCATTATTTTGCGTCGGTTTCCTCCTCATATAACAGTAAACTACTAGGTGTACAACTAAATAAATAAATCACTGTATTTCTAAAAATTATTATTTTTATGACTGATCAAAAGAACAAAAGAAAACAATACGAAGCTCTATTCTGTAAATTTAGTCAATATCGGTTATTATATCGATATAAATTTAGCTTTCAAAGTTATGCATAGAATCCTATCAAAGTTTGCTTTAAACTTTCAGAATTTGTCTCTTAAATGCAGCAAACGTTATATGGACACACATAAATTAACCCAATATTTGTATTTTAAAAAATTTTGTACAGGCTCTCAATATACCTTGCCTACTACTTAGTTACTCCTAACATTTTCTTTTCAAGCTAACTGTTAATCATATTCATAAGTACTCATTCTATTACAATAATTTGACTACTTAATTTTCTTTATATCCATTTTATTAATTATCTCATTAATTTTACAAATAATACTAAACTTTATACTGAATTACTTAATTTCAAACTTAATTTTTACTTTCAATTGTTGAGATCATGAGTCAATTGAAGCTAGACCACTATGGAAAACCTGGGAGCACTAGACGGCCGTTTCGTCCTATTGTGGGACTCCTAAGCAGTCGCACCCACGACCACACCTCGCGGGATTCAAACCCAGGACCTATCAGTCTCGCGTGCGAGCGCTTAACCATTAGACCACTGAGCCAGCATCCAACGGTGTTAATTTCTAACTTCAACTAATCCACGAAACTGACTCATGATCTGAATTATTGAAATTACTAAAATCTCCACAAAACCCCTTCTGATATTAATTTTTACTGTTATCCTTACGTAACTAGTGGTAATGATTAACTGATTATGTAATGTTTCTTAAGTTTTAATTTTGCATCCATTGAGTTAGCATATTTAGAGAAAATATTGAGATACATAGGGTATTTGGTGTTCATTGTACAATTTAATTCAAAAAATAACTTCTGTATAGATATTAATGTAGAGCCATGAGATAAAGAACTAATTAAAAAGAAATCCTTTTTTTCAATTTAACTTATATTTTTAATGTCTTCACAGGGAATATTTAATCCTATTTGCATGAAATTTTTCATTCTTTAACAATATTTGGTTGTTTGATATTTCAATTAATTACATACAAATTTTTTCAGTGATAAGATGAATTCAGTTATTTCGTGGATGCTCGTCAGCCGCTAACAATCTGCATATAATTATATATGCCGATGTATATACTTTATGTCATATTAACGAAGATTAGTAGAATAACAACAATAGAATGGAATCTACTACAGTAAAAAAAGCCAGTTTTTTGACGGCTTAATTTTAAAGGAGATGAAACAGATGGAACGATTATTTCTAGATAAAATGTTGTATACAAGACGATGTATCTAGCCGCTAAACTAGTTTCACTGTATCAAACACGTTGCTCATCGAGACAAAAAATGAACAAATCCCCACCTTATGTTACCGCCAATTGTGTTTATCAGTTTACTTGTTTGTGCCAAAGCACTCATATTCAAAGAACAGAAAAGACGGTTCTTGTTCACATCTCGGAACAGAGCACATTTCACAATAATTGAGATTAAGAGGTCAACGTATTCCCAACAATGCCATTGAAAATAATCAATACCGAAATAATTTCCAATCTACTACGTGGCGCCGAAGCCATTTCAATTTAAGAGTTGGAACGAAATCTGTATACTAAAAACGATACAGTTGTAAATCACTATCCTGGTAAATTTTATTTTTCATGATTCAATTGAGCACGTTTTATTTGATATTTATAATAACGAATCCTTTTATCATTCTTAGGTCTTTCTGAGCTTTACTCATCTTACTGTACTATTCTATCAAATAGTATGGTTGTTATTACGCAGCTTTGACATCAACATTCATTCTCCAGAAACGTGTCTGCATGTTTTTTTTTTATAAAAAAAAAACATTTTCATAGAATTTTCACATTAAGTGACATGGTGATGTGAACAGAGAAACAAGAAGCCTTGACAAATTACGAAAGCTCATTTTCGGGACGTTATTTCAGTTAATTCAAAGCTTGTAAAACAATAATATTTATTTTTGTCCCTAGTCTGTTCTACACATCATAAGCTTTCGTTTGATATATGATTCACTGTCATAGCCCTTTTCGTTCCAAAGCTATTATAATTTAAACGTATTATTTTGTACCATATTTTCTACCCTAATTCCCGGGGTTTGGATATGATTGTGTTTTCCTAATTATTGTGCGTTGTGGTCGGGTTAGTCATCTATTTATTCACGTATCTTTTAACACCGATCTAAATCGGGAAATCGGGAATAGATCGAGTAGTGTTCCAGTTGTCTTGTCTTCTCTCACTCGCGTGCTTGTCAGCCAGTCAGGTGATAGTATCGTTTTCTTCTCTCAACCGAACTTCGAACTCACGCGTACTAGCCTTAAGGTTAAGCCGGTCAGCCTAATGCGTCAAGGTCTTAATCTAGATTAGACAAGTTATCTTCAGCACCAGAAGTGGGTAGACAGATCAGGACGTAACACATGGAAATATTTCTCCACGTTACCACTTTATAATACTTCCATGCCTGTTGTCGTTATTCTACTAATCTTCACTGATATGACATAAAGTATGTATATTGGTTATAAATAATCATCAGCTGATGAAGTTCACGAAATGAGTTCATCTTATTCTGCTATGTTCTTTGTTATTGTTTTGTTCAGATTTTAATGAATACTTATATGTCGGCAAACGTCATTGTAATGCTATTACTTGAACTGAAAGTGAAAAAAACTCTTTAGGGAATAGTGTGGCTTTGTTCCTTTCTTGTGTGTGTGAGTATGGGTTAGGTTGAAACGTCTCCATATTTTCTATTCGTTGGAACTCCACGTGATATGTTAAATCTTTACCTCCCTCCTAACAGCCTGTATTTTTGAAACTCAAGCGTTTCAAATTCATGAGTGTTAAGCAGTCAATAACTTGCAAGTGAATCGAACAACAAGACATAACACCAACTGTTGATCAATATGTTTGGGAAATTACTTACCAGAAACGATGTAAGCATTGATATTCCGGTACAGACCATACAGCACAACATGAATCATATGAGGCAGTAATTAATAAACTACCATCTTTTGAAAATTTTGCAACTGATATTCGATGATAATGACCAGATCGTATGTAGGCGACTCGAGAAAAAGGAGATTCAGCCTTGACAAATAAAAGAATAATGGTTAATTAATAACATCAACTCATTCATCAGATACTGCAGTATGAGCCACATTCTGAGTGTAAGGGTTAATGATAGTACCTGCTTGCTGAAAGCAAGGTGAGTGAGATTTAGAGGCTACAAATCGAACGCCCTAACCTCTAAGCCATCACTCCAATGGGTACAATGTGTTCACTATCACAACTGCATTAATTGTTCGGCAAAATTAAGATAATCATTATAAGGTGATTGATAATCTAATCCTAATCGAAAAAATGTTAAAAGATGGTGATAGTGTAGTGAACGAGAACATAAGTAGGGACAATCAAATTTATTTGAATACAAAATTACAGAACATCTTAGTAAAATCTGAGAACCATAAAGTAAATAGTTCATTTACAAAACGTCAACCAATAGTCTCAGACTTCATTGTTCATTTCCATACCAATTATTCTTTGTTCTCGATCTCTTTTCTTGGATCTTCTTAACCTTCTGCCTCCAGGCATTTCACTTTCGACTAATGATACATATTACTTATATCTGTCGACATCAGTAGCACACTACAATAAAACATACTGGCCTATTCAAATAAATATACAAGCTGAGATTAGGAAGACGTTATCTCACGAATTGGAGGATACCACAATTTTATTGCTTTAAAATACTCTTCAAGTGCAGGCAGTACATTTGTTTAACTTCCATTTCTAATAATTCAAAACATACCTCGTAATGCCTAGAAGTCTGAGCTACTAAATGGCTTATTGGTTTACATCGTTACTCAATCCAAAATGTTTTGCTATAATTATGTATGTACGGACGACCTTTCTGAATTCAATTTATGATTAAACAGCCCGGATGGTGACTCAGCGATTGAACCTCAGACGCCCGAAATCATACTCTTGAGATCCCCAAGCCATTTCACCATCGTCTTTGTACCGTTTAGTACCAGGCTCACATAATCACTTAGTATACATATAAAATCATATGACCGACGCAAGGATAATAAATGTAGTCAATTGAAAAAAAGACACATACACCAAAAAGTAATAGGAGAGTGAAACAGAATGAGTATTTAGGAGTAAGTCATACATGTAAACAGTAATTATAACTTTGAATTACTGGTTATAAAATATACAGAATATGCCACCAACCTCAAACTGACCAAAGATGATGGACATTTACATGATTGTCTGCGTCAATGAATTACATATTAGATAACAGAGGAAGAGATTAATGGTGAATTCGAAATGAAGGACACAAGGGATTATCATTACTACTATTATTATTAACTCATTACCAGGCACAGATTCTTTACTTGGCTACGAGCTACTGTTATAACTTGTGACCTGTGTGCCCTGTTAATGTATAACGTAACGATACCGCTAATTAGAGAACAATGAATCATCGATCGACCAATGACGCATAAAACCCGTACGAGCAGTCTAGAGTCCTTATTGGTCCTGCTTAGCCTCCAGCCCAGCCTGTTAAGTCCAGAAAACCGATCTCAGCCTCTGCAATAAGAATCATTTATTTCAAACATACGGGGTTTATATACTAATCAAACAGACCGCATCGTACCATAAAATAGGAAACAACATCTGTACAAGATTTAGCCCAATGTGACTGTGAATGTGGGAGGTAGTGATTAATAGACAGGGCATAATTCAAGAATGGTAAGTCGTATAATAAAGTTAATAAGCCAAAATAAAGCACATAATAAGAGGGACATGAATATGCACAGTTTAGTTGCGTAACGATTATACGATAAAAATATACGCATAGTATTGGTTCATAAATGGATCCCAAAGTTACCATTCATTATTCTTATCGGACATAACAGCCACACATTAAGTGCAGTCGCCCAAACTAACTACGTGGGATAGTGTGCAAATCTGGGACTTAGTGACTGCTAGTCGAATTCGTTAACCATCAACGCAAAAAGTAACATCTCCAGATTATTACACTTCATCTTTATCAGTGTAGTCCATTTTTAGTTGGCTTTTAGTGAGATAGAAATAACAAAATATCAACTGTTTAAGGAATGATGAACGACTGACCAGTTATTTATTTTTGTCGCTACATGTGTAACCGTTAAAAATACAAATACAAATACTATATAGATATGCACATTGAATAGATATTACCGATTTCTTATTTTTGATTGCATGTCCAAAAGGAGAAATCATGTTTCTTCATGAAAAAAGTGAAACCTGATAATTAGTTTACAACAGTGACTAAATTCATTTGGTACAACAATAGGAACAAATATATTTATTGTGAAATGTTCTATTTCCAAATATTTTATTAGAATCTGTCTCGGAAAGAAGCGAACTTTTAAGCTTGTTCTCTTAGGTCCCATAATGCTAAGCAGGTTAGTTGGAGGACAGTTAGACTAAAAGCAACGTGTCTCGTGGGCGCATCCGTACTGTTGACTGTACAAGGGTGTGACAGCAGCAGCATGTCTCCCTTAGAGAGCCAGCATCTGCAGCAATGCTGTCTCCCAAAACCGAAGGAAGAGTTATAAACGGTCGATCCTAAAACTGTCGCACCTTAGCTTACCGTATGGATTTTGGTTTCCGGTGGAAAGGACTTTGAAATGTCGAGATAACACATCAAAAACCTGCTATAGAATTGTCATGCATGACCGGTATCAAATATTTGTGTCCTGAGTTCTGTGATCATCTTCCCAGGTCGCTGAGACCACTACAAATCCATTTTCCATTGTAGATACCCCAAGAAAAAATATGCATCCACAGTATGGCGATTGGAAAGCGAGAAATACTATTATAGCCCTAGCAACACGTGGCATCACTTCTGCCTGTCTTTTAAACTTGAAAAGAACGACAGGAAAATCAAAGTTAACCATCTTACATCGAGTACAACACCATGGCCTCTTTCACCAGCTAGGAATACATGCCTGCCGCATGGATGCCAAGCAAATGTACATGCTTCACCTTGAATTTCACTGCATGGTTGATCTGTTGGAACAGTGAATTTATGTTGTAATTTCCCGTACATATTACCATCATCCCATAAATCCCATAATCTCACTTCACCACCACGATGTACGGAACCAACACGAAGACTTCCGTCTACAGCAGCTGAGAGGAGATATACAAGGGTACAATCATCTGTCAAGACATATTTGGGGATATCTATAGAAAGACATCAGAAAACATGAACTCAAAGTTGATATGTACAGTTACTAAACTTTAAAAGAAACACAAGTTATAATAAACTAAAATACTAATTTGTCCAACAAATCTCTATACAGAGGTCAAAAAGAATTTATTTAACAAAATTAACCGTGTAGACCTGGACAGATTGTCTAGATCTACTAACACAGTTCACTTCAACTATAAATAATTCCGTAAATGATGTAGCGTTTCGGATCGTCTATGACTAGCTTTCTTTCAAACTACTCTCACTACAAATTATATTGTGCACCAAGAAAAGTAGTAGTTGGGCATACGAATACATATCCTTAACACTTCGATCGGTGAAACTTCACAGCCTTATCAATTGATTGTCAACAAAGCACGTATGGATAGCGTAGTGATAAAACAAAGCTGATCTAAAAGATGTGATGTTTATGTGGAATATCACTACCATAAATGAAGAGATGAAACATTTTCTTACGTGGCTTAAGATCCAGTTAGAATCTCATTTTAATATAAGCCTAGGTGAAAGACAATCATGTTCTTCTGCAGTCAGATATATTATAGGTGAAGCGTGGTGAAGAGCGGTGTCCGAAATTTGGTACTGATACACGGTGTGCTATACGCTGACCCCCAACTAACTACTTTAGCAAGAACGAGAGTGATCGAGGAAGTGTACTAGGCTACCGAATGAGATGTACAGATACTCATTCGCACATATACCACTCTATCCTTAGGAAATTGACCCACTGATCCCAATGCAATGCATTTAACCATTAGGTCACTTCTGGTTGCCAACGTTTGGCATTTTGCTGCTTCTGATTCGCTCTCCATATCAGAACGATCATAAGATTGGCATGAAAACAGCCTTTAAATTCTCGAAAATGCATTCCTAAGTTTTGGTTATTAAAACATTTATCATACTAATGTGCTTAGAATGATTTCTCATCATCTTCAGGTCCGTCCTGGTTCATTCGGTTACTGTGTCTTCAAAATTTTGTACTTCTATTATCACCACACATTTACTTGACCTTAATTTGCTTTTATATAAAATTTCTTGACAAGTAAATTTGTGACCAAGTTTCTCTAAAATGTGTTTTTATGAAATACATTACATTTCTCAAAAAATACTTTCACGAACTGATATTATGCAGTCTTCTTTTAGCTGCCTTTAGCTTTCTTCAAACTTATTACACACGACTACTGCACGTCTGGAATGTAGTAACTGGGATGTGCTGTTTAAGTCTAGCCCTAACTCAGTTGACCAAAGTTTACAGTCTTAGCTTGAACATTGATATTAATCTCAGAACTACTTAGTCGGTTGTTCTGTTAAACGAAAGCAGTACAGAGAAGCACTTTTTCTTCTTCGTTTCTATGGGACTCTATATAGCTTTATAATCAAACTAAATACACGATACCCAAATGTATAACAAGGAATAAGTGGGTGAAGTAATTATTAAAAGTGAATAAGTCTTTTAATCATTTAGAAACTAAAATACAATAAATTTGGCACCTAGAAGATGAATAACAGTTTTTCAGTGTTCAATTCTCTTCGAGGTATATACATACGACCAAGGTAAAAGTAAATTTACAATCTTTTACAGATATCAGTACATAAAAGTGAACACAACATACTGAATTGGTTGAAGTCAACTGAGAGATGACATAACAGGACAAAAAGGCAAAATTATATCTTCAACTCATCGTGATTCTTATTAAACATTACTTTCGTTATTTTAATTCTATATGGTGATTATGCAGTGCGCTATTCTATTTAGTTTAACGTTAATCTACTTCAGTGTAATATTTATTTAGGATATGATATTCTCTGGATAAAATTAACGTGAACTATTCAGCATGAAATGCCGCATGCGATTTAGCTATAATTTTATATATGTGACTGTTTACTGATTGATGATCAAATATGTATAAATGAGTGCATTTTCGACTAGAGTCGTAGTTTTGTTTTCGGTGTGAACAAACCTCAACTTATACAGTCTTTCATGTTCTTGCTTTGAGTCATGGAAATTGTAGTGGTTCCTCGTTCCACGAATAAGTAATAAGCGACTCAGACATAACAAGAAATTACAGAGAACTCCTCTATTACGAAATCAAACAGTATGTAGTACGAAATATACTAGGATATATGAAATGAAACCATCATATTTATTGAGGAGACAATTAGAATATGTAAGTCAAATTAGCATACTAAAGAACAAAAACAAGACTTACGTGGAGAACTTGATACTAGACTAAATACATTATAAACTTCAATGACACCAGAAGCTAAACCCAACAGTAATAATGAGACTTGTGATTCACGAACAATAGACGATCTACGCTTATTTGCACGATGGGGCAATCGACAAAATGCACTATCCCCAGAGGCAAAAGTCATACTAATCACATCTCCGTTAGTTTTTATACGAAATATTGGTTTCATATTTACAGGTAGTGCATCACCATGTAACAGTTCTGATGTTAATATTTTCCAGTTATTACTACTATCTGTAAGATTTGCATATAAATTTAATGATTCTGTATTGTTAATAATTTCATCTGACAATAAACTAGATGTTTGACAATGAGATGATAAAGATGGTTTGAAATTATTTTCATCCAAGCACGTTGATCTATGTAGAGTAGCACAAAATAATAAACCGTCAAGCTTGTTATTATGAAGGGTTTGTGGAGATGATCAAAATCTAAAGTTTACATAACGGATTGACATTAGTTAGATAGTAAACAGACACGAGGAAGAACTGTACAGGTGTAATTAAGGTCAGTCTTTGATGCAAAAAATAAACTTAGTGGTTTATTATTGTTGTTATTATTCACCAGAAGAATGAGGAAAGTCTGTAATATAAGTTAATGCACAAATATTACAGAATCCCATTCAAGTCTTTGAATATTTTATTCAGGTAGTTTAGTAAGGAGTTTTATCAAATTCAAAAGTGATATTCGCCATCAATTAACACTAACTGAAAACTGAAGATTTAAGAACACACTGAAGGTGACTGGAAAATTCGATACTGTATGAAGTAATGTCTTATAAGTAGGATAAAACAGTTGTGTGCCTCCTAGTCTTCGCTTGTTCTACAACTGATATTGACTAGTTTTAGAAAGTACATTCTAAAATTTTTAGTCAAACATTTTACAGTAGCTGCTTGAATCATTACACCGATGGGCGACGTAGGATAGTGTGAGTTAATGTAGCGAATTAAACTAACGATAGTTATAGGAACTAAAAGAACGGTGTATATGCATTATTGAATCTCCATCTACCTTTGTATTTATTGATAAAACAACTTTTATAAAACGTCTAATTATTTCACCATATGATGTTGAATGTAAGTTTACAATGGTGATATTACATAGCTACAAGTAGATTTTGAATGCAATTGTGTAAATTCTGTACCAAATAGTTTATGTATTTAACTTTGAGTCACCCCGTTTGTATGATAGTGAATGATAAAACTAACCAACAGCTTGAACTAAAAAGGTGAATCATCCAAGGGAAAGTATTCTTTAAGTTTTCGAAACAACACGTTTATAATATTACTTAACAACAGTGACTACTTAAAGTTAACAAATATTTTCGCTGAAATTTACACGAACATCATTGTTATAAAGGATCTGGAAGTTTGCACAAAAGGAACTCACGAAAACAGTCTTAATACAGAGTCTATATGCAAGAAATATTCAACTAGGGGATAGTTAAAGCATATATATACATATGAGCCAGAAAAACTTACAGTATGTCATTTACACAGTAACCCAAGACAATCTGTGGCTGATCAACAAAGGCGAAGAATCGACCGCAATTAGAAAAACTGCAACTGGTGATATTATTTTGGTGAGCACCATGGTAAGCTATTGTTAAACGTAAGGGAATTTCATTAAAATCTGTACGCGAAAAGAAAACATGGTGGTATTTTATAAAACAATAAAATTTCTGAAATGTTAAACAATAAAATGAAAGGTACAGTGATCGAAATGATTTACTAATGAATGAAAAGATTAGTAAAGATAGACGTATTCAGCGATGGGATTACTTTTTTCCGGAATTAGAGAAATTGAGAGAAACCTAACAAGAAACGACTCACTAGGAAATAGACTAATGATATGGCTAAATGCGTTTAATCTTTGGTATACGAAATAACACTACAGACAGATAACACTGCACCGAACATGGATACAGTACTGAAATTAGAAGCTCTTCTGGTCAGTAATCAAACATTGGAAAGGACCATAACATACAACGTCATTCCTATTTCTATGGACTAATGTCGAAAACTGATGACTGACAAAGATGGTGGGTCAGTGAGAATTTATTAGCTGAATCGTTGGTTAGTTTCTAATACATTATTCAAAAGATTGTCTAGTCGTGCCGCTTAGTTGTACACGTGTGATTAATAGACTGAAGTGTCTTTTGTAAACGAGAAGACACAAAAACTACACAGTCTTTTTTCATTCCATAAATTTCCTCCCACTGTGTTGATGTAAGGTGTGGTAGCTTAGATTAACGCACACTTATCTAGTCTCGGGTTACCCGTAATAAACTAACACCACAAAATTTGGATAAATAGCTTAGTGGTAAGAGGGTTTGATTCCCAACCATAAAGCCACGGGCTCGTATGTCGCTCCGCCCATTTTATACGGGAAGCCAAGTAGTACTACTGACCCCTGGATGTGGCTTAGAGTCAAATATATATCTGGAATTCCATAATCAGTTAAATTAATTACCGACTGAGGTCAGAAATTTATAAAGTAACTATCTCCATAGCCATTGAAGTGATATGATAACAGTAATGTTCATTCTGGCCCTTCAATTTGTAATCCATGAGTCAGCTGGTTGGTCATAGATGTGTATTAGTTCGATTTACTGAACTTTACATCAACAAATAAAAGGGTCAGGGCCTCAATCTCTATTAACAGATTAGCTATCTTAAGCAGATACTGTGTACACTTAACACTACTCAATGGGTGAATCTAAAAGTGAAGTGCTACATACTACTGTGACAAACTTTTAATTCATTGAAACACTGCGATGTTAACAGAAGTGATGAGATTTTTGAATTATAGGTATTTTGGAGAAGCTAATCACTTTGCAGACCGAGAAGCAGTCTTAACTCTATATAGTGTTACTAGTCACAGCTAAAATATTCCACCACAACCATTGACATTTTAGTGGTAAATATTGTCGGAAAAACTATTCTTGAAGAAGTACGACCTCAACTATTATTTGCTCGACTTATTTTTCGCTAGCATGATACATGGCAACGTTGAGATGAATAGTTCGGGGATTTCGTAAGTCTTATTGAAATATTGTGAAAATTAATTCTACTGCAGTGTCCTCAAAACAAATTCATTACCTAGCTGTACAGTCGCATATAAAATAATGAGAGACTAGTTTTCATGTTTTTAATGTTCAGATGTCATTGTCAAAAGTGTTTCAAAATTGTGTAACCAAGTCTACGATTAGCTAAAAAACGAGACAGAAATTTGAGAGTGAGCGAAAACAAACGTTATATTCTGAAACAACAGTTTCTTGATTCTTAAATTCAAAAAGATTGGTGTATTGGATACAACTTGAAGTACACGAATTCTCCTGGAATAAACCTCTGATTGTCACTACAATATGAAAACATTTTTTAAATTTATGCCTGATGCTGAAAATAAGCCAGAGAAGTTAATGAAGAAACAGAAACAACCAACCATTGCCAACCATTCGCGAAAACCACCCAAAAGATTATAGTGGCCTTGCAATTATAAACCACCCTCTTCGAGTTTTCAATGCCCAATTGTCAGAGCTTCTTTGTGAAGAATTAGATTCAGATTTGTGTAGTAAGGACAGAAGGCCTACGGCCCATGTCATTCCTTTTCTAGTATGCTTCTCTGAGTGTCCAGTCTTCCCTTGAAAGTGTCAATTGAAGGTGCGGACACCAGTGCTCCAGGGAGTAGGTTCCAAGTATTAATGACTCGGTGTGAAAACCTGTATGCCAGGGCTATTTTGTTCCTTCTTGGCTTTTCTACTCGTCTGATATGTCCTCTAAAGTGTCCCGATCTAGTGGGAAGAAAGAGAGAGAATAAGTTAGGTCCGAAATCCTTTTTCAGTATTCTGCACATCAAAATTAGATCTCCCATTAGTCTCCAATAGGACAGAGTAAAAAGGTCCAGTTTTTCAAGCCGCTCTTTGTACGATAAGTCCCGGAGTTCTGGAATTGCACGGGTAGCTGCCCTCTGTACTTTTTCTAGTATGTCCGAGTCACCTCTTAAACAGAGGCTTGCAACCTGAACGCAGTTCTCTAGCTTAGTTCTCACTAAGGATGTGTATACTGTGGTGAACATGGTAGTATCTAACTTAGTGAATGTCCTTTTTAAAGCCCAGAGGGTTCGAAACCCCTTGGCTGTGACTCCCGGCAATGGGCCGTCGTCTTAAGATCATTACTCACTGTCACTCCTAGATCCTTATGAGACCGGACTACGGGTAATGACACATCCCCTATGTTGTACGTATTAACCTTTGAATCCCCCAAGTGCATGTAGACACACTTTTCCGCGTTAATAGGCATCAGTTACTCTTTAGATCAGTTTATAATGTTATTTAAATCTACCTGAAGAGCACATGCGTCTTTGTCTTCAGTTACTACTCGCCAGATTTTTCGTCGTCAGCGTATAATAACATTGGGGACTTTACTGTACTTGGGAGATCATAAACGTACATTATAAAAAGTAAAGGACCTAGGACGGAACCATGGTGTACTCCACTAAGTACTGGTCTCCAGATGGAGCGCTTGAAATTTGTTCTTAATTTTTGTCTACGACCTACTAGGAAATCCTTAATCCATTTTTAAAATGTCCGGCAATACCAAGGTTTTCCAACTTCAATAGCAGTCTATTAGTTGGTACCTTGTCAAAAGCCTTACTGAAATCTATGTAGACAACATCCAGTTAGTTTCCGTTGTCTAGTGCATTAATCCAGAGCTCCCTTGCTATAAGGAGGTTCGTTGTACAGGATAGAACCTTTCTAACACCATGTTGTGCCATGTTCAGCAAGTTACTGGTTTCCATAAATGCCGTTATTATTATTATCAGCTTTATTCAATATTATATTTTTGGTACAATATAGAATTCTCAGCGCAAAGTATTTCAACGAGTTTCCGTTTCTTTCTTCTTCGTCGGTCCTGGCGATAAATATTGAGTGATCGCCAGTTAGATGTAAGCAGTCCACCGAATGAACATCTGAATAATGTGCATTCTTTTCGTTGTATATTGCCAGCAACCACATTGTCTCTTATTGAGTTTTTTGTAACTTTGACAACAAAAGGTTGTACACTTTTCAGAAACGCAGCAGAATAGGTTATGCGACTAATAGACATAACGATATATTAAAACAAACAAAAATAGATAACTTGTTGAAATATCTAGATGGCAGGAATAGGTAGCCCAGATGCTCAAGCAGGTCCATTTGATTATTCTTTCCAGTATTTTAATTACAACACTGGTGAGACTTACGGGTCTGTAATTCGATGGAACTAGTCGACAACCTCTCAATCCTGGCTCCTCTGGGAAAGAGCGATCATGCCGTCATAGCCTTCAGTTTTGTCATCAAAACTAAGCTAAGGTATCCCAACAATAATTTGCGTTGGAATTTTAAACGGCTGAATGTGCCAGCTCTACATGACTATCTACAACAGGTGGTTTGGGATGTTCACCCTCAACTCGATGTGGATGGTCATTGGGACTTCTTACTGCACACGCTCTTATGTGCTACAGACCATTCAGTTCCTCAAACGGTTCCCAAAAGCTTCAAGCCACCTACAGTAATCAAGAACCGTACCCTTCGCCTGCTAAGCCGCAAACGGCACTGTTGGGCGGAATACAAACGAACTAATAACGATGGAGCGTATAGGCAATATAAACATATCAGGAACACATGCACGAAGGCTATAAGAGAAGACAGGCTTCAGTACCAAACAAAGCTTATGGACAAATTCGCCTCTAACCCTAGAAGCCTATTCCGTTATGCAGCCTCTCTTCGTCAAGCCAAAACAGGAGTTTCTCAACTGCTAGGTCTTAACGGCCCGACCAACAACGATGGCGACGCCGCTAACCTTCTGGCGGCACATTACTCTCAAACATTTCAACCGGCTGACATCAACTTTATTGACGACAGTTTCATCTGCAATTCCACAGGACTTTCTGAAGTGGACCTAAGCGCTGACTTGGTGTTCCGGAAATTGCAGCACTTAAGACTTGACACTTCTCCTGGCCCGGATATGGTTCATCCTGCCATACTGAGGGAGGCAGCCTCAATCCTGGCAACGCCGCTTAGCGTGATGTTTTCACACTCGCTTAGCCGAGGCAAATTACCGGAAAATTGGAAGTTGGCTCACATCACACCAATTTTCAAAGGTGGTCGACGCAATGAACCTTCAAGTTATCGGCCGGTGGCTCTTCTGTCATTACCTTCAAAACTCATGGAGTCCCTGATATGCGACGGTTTAAATGACTATCTACTGTCCTTAAATTTCTTCTCACCCCAACAGCATGGTTTCAGGAAGGGTTACTCTTGTATAACCAACCTGCTGACTGCGGTGGACAGATGGACAAGCATCCTCGATCGCAAGGGAAAGGTTGATGTCATTTACCTTGATTTCTCAAAAGCTTTTGATAAGGTTAACCACTTGTGTCTTATCAACAAGCTCAAACGACTAGGTATCAAACCACCTCTAATCGATTGGCTTACTTCATACCTAAAAAATCGACACTTTAAGGTTAGGGTTAATTTCACTTTATCTCAGGCTATGGAATGTCCTAGTGGGGTCCCCCAGGGCTCAGTACTAGGGCCTCTTCTCTTCTTGATCTACATAAATGATCTTCCTCAACAGGTAACGTCAGACTTATTACTTTTTGCCGACGACGTGAAACTTTGGAGAGAGATACGCAACCAAGACGATATACAGGCACTTCAAGAGGATCTGACTCGACTTCAAAGTTGGGCAGACGATAACGGACTTACCTTTAACACTTCAAAGTGTAAAGTAGTCCATCTGCGACATGTCGCAAACTACAGTTACAACTTAGGAAACTCCTCTCTAGTAGTATCCCAAGTCGAAAAAGATTTAGGAGTCCTGGTGCCCCATGACTTAAAGTCTTACGCTAACTGTGACAAAAATGCCTTCCGAGCAAACCTTGCACTGGTAACGTTGAGGCGCATTTTTGGCCAGTTTGACGGAAGAACTTTCCACACAATCTTCAATAGTTTCATCCGTCCCCATTTAGAGTACGGAAACATAGTACTCCCCCCTCACTCCAAAAGGACAAGGTCACTTTGGAGCGTATCCAACGGCGAGCCACGAAATCAGTTCGAGGACTCAAATCTAAGCCTTACGAAGAACGCCTCCGTTCACTAGACCTTTACCCACTAGAATATAGGCGTCTTAGAGGTGATTTATTAATGGCTTATAGTATTCTTAACACTTCTGGACATCCTCTTAAACACCTACTTAAGCTTAGTTCGAATAATAACCTAAGGGGTAACACCCAGAAACTGGAAACACAACATAGCAAGACGGAATGTAGACACAACTTCTACTCCTTAAGAGTTGTCAAAAGCTGGAATTCGCTGCCGGCCGAGCTAGTCCAAGCGACTTCTCAGGAGTCCTTCAAGAGGCAACTTGACCTATTCTTAAGGACCAAGGACAGCATCACACTATGATTTACCAATTTCTTTTCCTCTTTTATTGTTAACATACCTAGGTTCCTGCCTGGAGGATTTGGTGATCCCCTGCTACTAGACACGGAAGCCTGTTAAGCGAAAGCTTCTTCTATTCCGTCCACAACCATTTGAACCATTTGAACCATTTGACCTGTTTATGTATGAAAGTGACGATTGCGTCCTTCCAGTGCATAGGTAACACACCTTGGCCAAGTGACATATTGAATATCACAGTCAGTGGGGTCGCGATATATTGGGCAATATGTCTCATGGTTTTGGGGTGTAGATCATCTGGTCCTGTTGACTTCTCCATGTTTAGGGTGCTAAGAGCCCTAAGCACATCGTTTTGGTCGAAGTCCACGATGAGCAGCTGGTTTGTTGACTCTATTTGGGTCTGGTTCTTTCTCTAGAGGAGGTTCCTGAGTGAAAACTGCCCAAAATAGTCAGCCATAGCCTCTGCTTTTTCCTGATCTTCCTCTATCATTTCAGACTCACTTCCTACTTTAATAAGTTTAGGAATCCAATGATGCATCCTTGTTCTGTAGTCTATGTACGAGAATATCTCTTAGGCTGCTTGAGTGCATATTGTGCCAGCTGCATTCCATATTTTCTTTGAACTTCCCGAATTTTTGTAATACACTCGTTTCTTACCAATCTGTAGCGTACCATCGTACCTGTAAGCTTCTTGTGTTCCGTCCACAACCATTTGACCAACGTTCTGTCGTTGCTCATCAAGGATAACGTCCCACCTTGAAGGATTGAAACTTAGTCCACGCAACTTAGTTAATGACCTTGGGTATTCTCAGAATGACACAAACAGCTTCCAAACCTTTTCTGATTGGTATTAGTGGAGGAGCCGCTTCAGGAAAAGTAATTTTAAGTTCAACAAGCAATGCTTGTAGGCAGAGGCATGCAAGAAGATAAAGGATGTCTTATACAGGAAGGCGAAAGGGAAGAAAGTTGAAGTTCTTTCCTTGTCATCGTTTTATCGTGAACTTTCCGATGAGGAACTCAAATTAGCCCTGAATAGTGAGTTTGACTTCGACCACCCAAGTGAGTCCTTCATTGTTGC